TGCAGAGAGAAAAACAATGAATGTTGCTCTTCCAAAATACGTATTGAAACTAAACTCCCGTACATATCAGCTAGTATGGCCAAACCCTGACAGGGAATTACACATCTGGAAGCATGTGAGAGGCCCATTTGTTGTTTTCTCAGTAACTTCTGTTTACTTGCTTTGGGGCAATGCCAGATCCCAAACCAGCAGAACTTTGGAACCGATCCAATAAGACTCTTCGTATGAGTAAATGTTATTGAACTATAGTCTCTGCTTAATATCATGACTCTGATGTTGATTTATGTAAAAGAGAGGAACTTAAAGATCTTTAATGTGGGAGGGAGCCTGTGGTCCAACTCAATACCCATTGTTATATTTCTTCTCTTACAATATCTAATAATCTATTTACAGTATAGTATCATTTGATCAGTACAGCAATTTGTGATTATTGATTCCACAGATTGATTCAGCACTGGATAATCTGTTTTCCCTCACATTTTCCCAGACATATATATATTGGAAGCTACATGCCAATAGTGAGGGATGATCCCAGCTCAATAGCAAAGGGGGAGATGAGATTGAAGACTCAGGAAAGGAGTTGCAGGATCCAATCTGGGTTGATCACCGGGACCAGAGGTTTTCTCTTCTGAGCTTTTGGAATTGTGCTGGAGCCCATCTTCATATATTTCTCTGTGGTCTTTGGGATGTTCTCTGTGTGATATCTATGTGGTATATAGCTTTTTAGATGTAGATTGGGGTGTTGATCGGTGACTATTAAGTACTTGTGCTGCCAAGCCCTTGCCTCCTAAGTACTTGATAAACTAGTGGTAAATCAGCACTCCTGTTGATTGACCAGGGGGGCATTTCCCAGGCTTCAATCACTTCCATGGCTGTTTTTATGCTTGCTTGTCCAACAATCTTAACTGCTGCAAAATTGAATGTATGTCCTTGTTTATTTCAATGTGAGGCTACCAATGAGTTTGAGTCTCCTCATATAACCTCTCACTTGTGGTCTTGCAGTCTGGTGGTTTGCTTCCTCCCCATCTGTCCTACATTGTTCTACAAGGGCAATCTGGGGATCTGATAGATAACATTGGAAGTATCTCCCACCTCCATGCGATCTTTACAGTGCATAAGTCCGAAAGCTCGGAAGACAAAACCTGTGGTCCCGTTGACTGACCCAGATTGGATCTTGCAACATTATCCTGGGACACGTATATTCGCCTTCATTCATCAGGAATGAAGAAATGCTTAAAGACATATTGGTGAGGAGATGAAAAAAAAAAGAAAAGACTTGGGGAAATGTCTTAGAATCCCAGGTCCCAGGTGAGGAGTTAGACAGGGAGACTCATGGAGCAGGTAGAGAAATCTTGTGGGTCCCAGGCTTATCTCAAGGAGCAGCAATCCTCCATAAATCTGAAGGCAAGGGTGAAGGATCTACAATTCATCATCGTTTGCATCCTGCACAGATCCACCATACGGTAAAGAAGGCTGCTCAGCTATGTGCCCCAGATTTGTAGTCTTAATATGTCAGCTTGATTCATTCTCTTTGGGATGTCACCACTTTCCAGAATCAAATGACCTATCCTCTCAGAGAAGCCAATTACTTCTCATTCTGTGAGATTCAACCTTGAATGCATAGCAGGTTTTTTAAGTCCTTAGTCGATTTGAAGGGAACATTCGTTGCTCATAGAAAAAGAATTCAAACAGACGGGTGGCTAAGGGAGGATTGAAAGTGCAACTGGCTGCCTTAAATGCACCACGCTTTGCTGGAACAGCATGAATTTAATTATATCTGAGTTCTTCAAAGATTTTGCAAGGGGTAATTCCTGCTAGGCTGCAAAATGATAGTATTTGGTATGCTACTGAATCACGGAGAGATTGCCTGGGGCAGAGGAGCACAACCCAGAGCCTGAGGGCTGCTTATGACCTCCATGAAATTTATGTATATCTTTTGTCCCACATGTATCCCTAATCTAGATGCTCCTTTTCTTTACTCACTCTATGCCTCCTACTGAAAGAATAAAAATCATACATGTCAAATGTTTGCACACAATGAATATTACAGTTCTGTTTACACAACCAGCATAAACTGGCCATTGAATTAATTAATGCACTTTCATAATATATGGAATCATAACTTAGTATGTTGGCTAGGCTCCCATAAGATCCTAAGCTATAAATTAAACTAGCTGATTAGTGACAAGCAATCTTAGAATGCTCTGAGAATACACTTGCTAAGTCTTGATCTGACCTGGTTATTATTTATTTAGCGTATGGCATATCATACACGGACTAGCAGTATAAATTAATATTTCAACTAGATTAGTAGAACCCAATAAAATATAAATGTCAAAAAGATCTATGTTCAAATACCAATGTCTAGGCCATCTAACCATTGGAGCGCAGCATTGTTTATATTTAAAAAGTCAGATATATGCCCTCAGTTTACAGCTGGTCATGATGTGATCTACAGTTTGACGTGGCATCCAGCAATCACACTGAGGGGAGGTTGCCATGCCCCATTTACACAGAGAGTCCCAGCAGACACCATGTGAGACACAAATCCTATTCAGATTGTCCATTGCTGACGTGATAGTTCAAAGCCTGGCACCTTTTTTGTGGGGTCCCAAAGATGCTTTTTCAAGAGGCAACTGGACTTTGTGGTTTTTCTTTGAAGATGTTTCGCTTCAGCTCTGCTGCTGAAGAAGCTTCTTGGATGAGAAGTGAAACGTCTTCAAAGAAAAACCAGATAGTCCAGTTGCCTCTTGAAAAAAGCACCTTTGGGACAACCATGACCTGGATGACTGAGAATCTCCATAGACATTTTTGTTGGGGTCATTTATATGTCTTCCTATAACTGGACATTCAGCGACCCATTTATCTTTCCATTGGGAATTGATATTAAAGTTCTTGGGCAGATGTTGTGCAAGTGCCAGTGGGGGCTTCCTGGATTTGAGTCTTCAGGCTGATAAGTGAGGAAGGTTGGCATGTATTGGTAGGAGTGACCTGGTAAAATGTGTTGTATGAATACATCCCACGGGTAAAAGTGGCGGTGCAACATTCCATTTAAGAGCTACCTCCTCTAAATTAGACAGCTGTCAATCTCCTTAACCTGCTTGCTGGGGCATTATAAGAGGTAAAGTCCTACATCCCTGCAGGCAACAGACTGAGAAAATGTTGCTTCATTTATACTTCTAAAAATGAAGGGGAAATGCTGTTACTCTTTCGAACATTTCACGCATATAGTACCTTGTGCTCAATCATGGGGATGGGATCTAGTGAAGTCAGCGTAGGGGATGGCTGCTGCTTTCTTCTAAAAGGCTGACACGAGGTTGATATTTCTCAGGGAAAGACACTCAGCACATGCCTCAAAGGTTTGCTTTATATAACAGCAAAAGAAAGTTTAAAAATACGATTCTTCCACACTGGGGAGATCTATCACCCTTTACAGTATTAAGAAGAACGCATCTAAGATTTCTTTTATTATTTTGCCTTTGATTTTTATATCTTTTATTTACTGAGCCCTGCAGCTGTAAGATTGGGAAGGAAGAACAAAAAGCTCTGTGGGAGTATATTTTGTAGATGCCTGGAAGTCATTGCGTACCTTCAGTGCGTCTGCCATCATCAGTGAAGGCTCAGAGGCGTGGAGACGAAGCTAGATTTAACTACTGTCGCTTTGGGAAAGAGCCAAAAGTTCCCAAATCCCCCTTTCCCTAAATAAACAGCTGGGGGAGGGAAGCCAGAGGATGTTTGAATAATGTTTCTGAAAAAGGATTTGTCTATTACTCCAAAGACATGATAACCAGTTATAATGATGTGGAAAATCAAGAGCAAAGGAGACAGTATTTGCCAGAATTGGATTTTTCACTGCACATAGCTGCTACTGAGAGATGATGAGGATGATACATATATATGAAAGCCTAGCTTGCATTCACACAACATCCTTGACCATGTTATTGGATCCACCCAATCTAATGGACCTACTAAATATGTTCTGTCAACCATAGAATTGTAAGGGGCCATTTAAGTCCTCAAGGCCTACCTCTGCTGTGTACAGACCTCCAAATTAAAGCATCCTAGACAGATGGGCTGTTCAGACTGTGCTTGGACACATTGTCTGAAAGGAGATCCACTATCTCTTGGATCATTGACTCCGTTGACAAACTACTGTTGCTAGATCTCTATCTGTTCATGCAATCGGTCTAACCAGGTCAGTTAGAGACCCAGCAGATGTAAGACTGCCTAAATGCTGTTCAGAGTTAATTTTCTTCAGACTATTTTTGGCTCAGCCTTTTGTATTAATTCTCCCCGCTTCTTTGGTTTGTCGTTCAATAGATTAGGGATAACCAGGTTAAAAAATGTTGAAAGAAAGCGGCTTAGGATTCCATATCATAGCATTCCATCATCATCATCATCATCATCATCATCATCATCATCATCATCATCATCATCTATATTTTCTTATTTGTTTTGTTTCACACTTCTTAAGCACTCACCTCCATCAGAGAGGGGCTCATCTTTATCCTGTATAATGATTCTGGCAAGAAGCTTTGATCAAATATTTTTTTTATTCTGAGCAAGATCCTTCCCAGGGAAGCTATCCTTACTATCTCCTATGAAGATTGTATCGCTTAGGAAGGGAAGAACATAACATATTTCCTCATAGCAGTCAGTGGGAGCCATTCTCTAAAAGAGGAGAAAATCTACCAGCATGACATTGACATAGTGGTGTATGTTGTTATTTTCTCATGATAACTATTAAGAATTTGGTCCCATTCTACACACCTTGTAAGCATAGCCCTCTCCATCCTAGTCCAATCAAGATGGATTGGTGTTCAAGCTTATAAATGTTGAGAGCTATTGTTAACACATCTAAACAAAAGCGGAATAGGAAAATCTTCCTGGAAGGTTTGGAATTAATGGTGTTATTAGTAAAGAACGAGCTATTGCTAGTAATATCCTCCCCTTTTCCTCCTTTTTCTGTGTTTTCTTTAACTCCTCCTTCTGCTTTACAGTATGGTGTGAGTTATCCTTGTCTTCTGCGTCAAAACCAAGTGCTTCTGACAGCCCTAGAGGAGTTGCAGATGCGCTGTGCCAGCCTGAAGAAGGACAACAGTCTGCTGGTAAGGGGCATGCAAGAGCTGAATACACTGTACCCAAATGTTGTTTAGCTAAGCAGGATTGACTAGTCTATGGCTCTCTGGATGTTGTTGGGCTTCAAGTCCTATCAACCTTGGCCATTAGCCAAGGCTGATGGTGATGGAAATTGAAGTGCAACACTATCTGGAGATCTGTAATTGACAATCCTGAGTTACTGTACTGGGCAGGAAGGAGGGTTTATTTAATTTCGAAGATGTTCCTTTCCAATGACATTTGAGGAAATAAAAAAAAAGGGTGCTTAAAACTCTTAGTTCCGAATGATGCAGACCAATGCTTTCAGCACAGGGTTGAACAAACTGTTTTGGCACTTGAAATAGAATATCTAAGCCATGCTCCACTTCTGCTAATTAAAACAGGGTACTACTTAGCAAGCTTTTGTCCTGCCAAAGTTCTACTGAGTGAAAGGGCAAGATTTCCATAGCTTTATAATTGCAGTTAGAATTCCTTGCTGGCTGCTTGGTTCAGATCTTTCTCCCATTTCTCCATCAATCTTAAAAACGTTTTGAAAGTACTGTATTGCCTTAAGAGGCTGATGAACCTTGGATTGTAAGGGGCTGTCTTATCTTAAGCCAGGCTGTTGAGGCTAGAGGGCTGGACCCACCTGCTGATTGAAATGATGGGAACCAGGCTACAAAATGTAGATGAGGCCAGGATGAAGAAATGCATGAAGCCAACGCAACAAGGGTATTCTTTTTAAATTAATACAATTAATTAAGCAGTATTTTTGGAAGGGTTCTGTAGGCTGCTTCTAAGACTTAAGGTGAGCACATGAGGCCTTGGGGCCTCAGATTCTACATACCTGCTCTACCTAGTGCAAAATTCTCCAACCTAGTGCCCAGGGGTGAAATCTAAAAATTTTCGCTACTGGTTCTGTGGGCGTGGCTTAATTAGTGGGTGGGGTTTGGGGGGGTCAGGTGACTGGGTGGGCATGGCTTGTTGGTCAGGTGGGCATGACCAAGTCGACGTCACTTCTTTGCCCTTTTTTAACGTACAAAACACAACACAACACAACTGGCTCACCCACAATGTAAAAGCAGCTGTGCTAGACCCAAAATGGCCCCTGCAGCAAGCAGGAACCTCCCACAGCAACAAAAAGTCCAAAAAAACAACTTTCACACTTTACACACACAAAATTCCACTTACAGCTTTGTGAGATTTTGTGTGTTTGTATAGTTAGAGTGAAACACTACAGAAACACACAGCATCTCAGAAAGCTGCACAAATATTATTTTATTTTATTTTATTTTTATTTTTATATAAAAGCAGCTAAATTTAAAACTTCCTAAACTTTAAATGGCTAGGTCTAAAAAAAAAAAACGACTAAAAAAACCCCCAATTAACTATTTTTTTTAAAGCTCCCAAAGGGGAAAAAAACTTACAGGCAGGCAGGCAGGCAGGCAGGCAGATAGAGCTGCTCATCGATGAGCTTGATTGCAGGCAGGGAGATTCAGTTGCTTGCTGATGCAATGGATTGCAGGGATTACAGCAAGCAAAGCAAGGCAGGCGTGTGAAGGTAAGCAAGCTGGAGGCTCGTGGGGGGAAGGGGTTTTTGCTACCGGTTCTCCAAACTGCCCGCTGCCATCGCTACCTACTCACCCGAGTCAGTCCGAACCGGGAGCGTTTCATCCCTGCTAGTGCCCCTCCAAATATCTTTACTGCAACTGGGGAAGATGGCAGTTGCAATCCCATTTATCTGGAGATCATCACAATGGACAAGGCTGAAGTTGTCGGCTTTGACTTGAAAACTTTCTCCAAGATCCCAGACAATGAAAGAAGTCCTGCTCCCAGAGAACTTGTCAGGGTTCCAAGTAACACCCCCAACAAAAGAAGACTCCAAAGCTTGAGTTTCCTCAAAGTTCCATTTTATTAGATATGTCATATTGGCACATCTGGGAAAATCAGAATCTGAAAGTTTCCAGGTTTTCCCCACCCAAAGGAAAGTCCAAGCCCCTGCCCAGCACCCACGTGTCCATCACATGGCCCAATCAAAGCACCATCCCAACTGGAGATGCCTCCCAGTTTCCAGCCCTCCAGATGCAGGGCAAGACGTCCTTGAACCTCTGAGAAAGGAATGTTATTATGGCTATATGTCACCCTTGCTCCATACAATCCCCACTCCCAGTTTCCCACAGTAGTAAATGTGGCAATGCAAAACAGCCCTTCCCCCGAACAGAAGATCAGGAGAAACTCTTCTCCAGTTTTTGTGCTTACTACTTTTTCAGGAATTTTTGTGACCCTTTGTGTACCAATATGGGCTTTCTGAATCCACTGCTTTCTGAATGCAGGAATACATAATGTCATCTTCCATCCAACTCTCAGTCCATTGTAAGTGCATCCCACTTAGGTGTTTTCCAATTGCAATTCAAAATTGCTGCTTTTTGACCCAAGACGTCTTAAGCCCTTCAGAGTAGATGGTCTCCACTGCTTTGTTCAGGTCTAGTAGCAGTTCCAGCTCTCATTGGCTGCAGTGCCTGACATGCCTCTTTTCCCTCCAGCAATTAGTTGCTACCCATTTCAAGCTAGGCTGTCAGACTATACAGTGTTCTCTGCTGGTCAGCTGTTGGTTTGTTTTAATAATCTTGCAGTTGATCCAAAATGACCTATTAAATCAATGAACCATCCTCCACTCTAGAAGCTCATGCTCCATTCAACCTTTACATCTGTGTATCTCCTGGTGTTAACTCTTTCAGTTTCTGCTCAGGCTGGGTGAAGCATACTACCTTGTTTTCCCATCCTCTACCCAGATGTATAGCCTTAAGAACCACGGTGGCACAGTGGCTAGAATGCAGTATTGCAGGCTACTTCTGCTGACTGCTGACTACTAGCTGCAGTTCACCAGTTCAAGTCTCACCGGCTCAAGGTTGACTCAGCCTTCCATCCTTCCGAGGTCTGTAAAATGAGGACCCAGATTATTGGGGGCAGTATGCTGACTCTGTAAAACCGCTTAGAGTGGGCTGTAAAGCACTGTGAAGTGGTATATAAATTAAGTGCTATTGCTATTGCTCAGAAGATACCATAAAGAAAAAAAAGGGAAGGGTCTCTATGAAGGAGAGGCAGGATACAGGGACAATTGAGGAGGGAACAATCCCTAAAATAAAAGGGCAGGCACTGGTAGACCAGTTTAGGCAGAAGCAAGCCAGTAAGGCTTGACTTTCCTTCTTGGATGGGATGGACAAGATGCATAGGAACAGCCAATCTGTTCTAGTCCAGATTGAGCATAACCTTGATCAATTGATGGCAATCTCAAGATACATTAAGACCTGCCTCATCCCAGTTACATTGACCCATCCCACCTGGTCAAGCAGGGCGGATGTTCTGCATATCCCATCAGTCAAGGAATTTCAGCTGGCAGGATCTAGCAGGAGGGCCTTCTGTGCTGTTGCTCCCACCCTTTCAAACATAAGAGCCGAGGTGGCGCAGTGGTTAGAGTGCAGTACTGCAGGCTACTTCAGCTGACTGCTAGCTGTAGTTCGGCAGTTCAAATCTCACCGGCTCAAGGTTGACTCGGCCTTCCATCCTTCTGAGGTGGGTAAAATGAGGACCCAGATTGTTGGGGGCAATAGGCTGACTCTGTAAACCACTTAGAGAGGGCTGTAAAAAGCACTATGAAGCGGTATATAAGTCTAAGTGCTTATAGACAGCTAAAGGTAGCTATTGCTAATGCTATCTTACCCTCAGAGGTGAAGTGAGCTCCCACTCTTCTGGCTTTCTGGAAGAGTCTAAAGACCTGTCTCTGCCAATTAGCATGGGATCTAAGATGTAACCCTGGGGATGGCTGATGGCTTGAGAATATTCCTCCTGCCTAGTCAATCTTTTAGCCTTTTGAATTTCACTTTTATCTTGTAGGTATTAATTTTGTTCTTAATTCTGTTTTTAACCTGTGCTTTTACTCATGTTTATATTTACTCGTGTTTATATTGTTTTATTATGTTGTTGTAAACCACATGGAGTCACTTAGGTAGGATGGGCAGTGTAAAAATTTAATAAATAAATCTGGAGTGGAATTTCTGAAGTTGCTTTAAGCTTAATAAACAGCTGGGAGATTTTAAATTTTAACCTAAAACGTATCATCCAAGCTGTTTTCTATCCAATTAGGCTGCCTTCATCTCAGGTTATGATTCATGTTCTAACTTAAACAATCATTGATGGACCATACCATACCTGGGGGAGAAAAAGGTGATTATACTGCCCTCTTTGCTGAATGAATTTATTTTCCCAAAATGGATCCCTCTCCAAAAGTAAAACTGGGTCAGAAAGGTAGTTCAGATCTTTCTCTCTTATTTTTTGTTTTCCAGCGTAAGACCTGCTTCCCAGAGACTCAGGAGAAGGTGAGGCATTTGAAGAGGAAGAATGCAGAGCTGGCGGTCATTGCAAAACGTCTGGAGGAGAGAGCCAGGAAGCTGCAAGAGGCCAACCTCAGAGTGGTAAGTGAGCCAACCCTGGGTGGCAGACAAGCCCAGTCAAGCTGCCCACATTGTTAGGCTTGGCACTCCACAAAGGTGATCGCAGTTTACTACAATCTTTTTGATATTAAAAAGCAAACTTTTTTCAAAAGCAATGAATACTTTTTCTTGACTTATCAGAATCGTGAAGCCCTACATTAAGTCTGTTATAACTAGCCTACAGAGACTGAAATTCTGATCTCTTCTCAACTATGATAATTACTGATTGATTTAGAGTTCTTGTCTTTCACCCTCTTTCACCTTTTACATGCATATACCCACATATTCTTTGTAGTTTATTAATGGTCGTTCCTCAAATGTGTTGTCATTTTTGTATGGAAGAATCTGTAGGAATCATGCTTTGTTTGCAAGAAAATTCCAATTTAATCCCTGGTGTAGCCAAATGTGGTTAGGAAAATCCCAACCAGAAACCTTTGAGAAGAAATAAACTGTAACTCCCATCAACCTTAATCAGCATGATCAATAGTAAGGCATGATGAGAATTGCAATCCATTGACAGCTGGTAGACCTTACATTGCCTGCCCTTCCCTTAGAAATAGGTTTCTAGTCAAGTTAGATAGAATGGAGCCAGGTAGACCAATGGTTTGTCTCTTAAGTCAGCTTATCTTCTTAGTCATTTATTTATTTGTCCCAAAGATTGGCCTGTTAGAATAGAATAGAATAGAATAGAATAGAATAGAATAGAATAGAATAGAATAGAATAGAATAGAATAGAATAGAACAGAACAGAACAGAACAGAACAGAACAGAACAGAACAGAACAGAACAGAATAGAATAGAATAGAATAGAATTTTTTATTGGCCAAGTGTGATTGGACACACAAGGAATTTGTCTTGGTGCATACACTCTCAGAGTACATAAAAGAAAAGATACATTCATCAAGAATCATAAGATACAACACTTAATGATAGTCATAAGGTACAAATAAGCAATCAGGAGACAATATCAATATAAATCATAAGGATACAAGCAACAACGTTACAGTCATACAGTCATAAGTGGAAGGCGATGTGTGATGGGAACAAGAAGATTAATAGTAGTGCTGACTTAGTAAATAGTTTGACAGTGTTGAGGGAATTATTTGTTTAGCAGAATGATGTCGTTCGGGAAAAAACTGTTCTTGTGTCTAGTTGTTCTGGTGTGCAGTGCTCTATAGTGTCATTTTGAGGGTAGGAGTTGAAACAGTTTATGTCCAGGATATGAGGGGTCTGTAAAGATTGGCCTGTTAGACAACTGTCAGTCTTTTCTTGCTGTAGGTGAATGCACCAATAAATGTGAAGAGCTCCTGTGCAGGACTGTGCAAAAGAGCGCTGGCACGCCAACGGGCCACAGATCTCCAAGAACAAGCCAATGCACTCCTGATGAAAGACAAACAGATCAATGCTCTGCAGAGGGAATGTCAAGAACTTCAAGCTAAAATCATGGGTGGAAAGGTGAATGTTTACCACTGAATACACTCAGGCTGATGTTGTCCAGATGTGGTAAACCTCCATCCATTGTGAGTGAGCACTAGGATTTGGATCCAGGCCCATCTGGACCAGGATTATCACATTTTTCTGTCTCTGCTCCTACACTTCCAAGTGTGTCAGTACAGAAAAGTTGTCTCTTTATCATCATCCTCAGAAAAGCCTCGTGGATTTTAATTACTGTGACCAGAAGGCCATCTTCAGTCAGGGCTGAGTATCTCTGATATCAAAGGATTTCCATTTAATATTCCAACTTTTAAGGGAGATTTTTTTTTTTTTCAGATAATGAATACTGCTACATCATTCTCTGAGGAAAGTGAATTTTCAGTTTGGGGAAAAACCTACTCAGAATTCTGGGATAAAGAAAAATATTCACTGCCAATAGGCAGTGCACAGTTGCAGAGGGAGAGCTAGGTAGGAAGAACAATTAAGTGCCAGAACGAATATGAATAAGTGTCCATAAGCCAAACCAAAGATTGGGAAACAAGGTTTGTAAGAATGACTGGAAGAAGATGCTGTTAACATGTAAAAGGTGGAGGAAAAATCTTATCAAGAACTAAAGGAAGTGGGACTTCATGCTCTGGACCAGTGTTTCTCAGTCTTGACAATTTTAAGATAGTTGGAGTTCAACAGGCTGGCCAGGGGAATTCTAGGAGTTGAAGTCCACCTATCTTAAAGCTGTCAAGGAGAGATGTTTGAAAGTGAAGGAGAGGATGTAGGAACCTAAGAGGTAGGAAGATCAGAGACAAAGTGAGGCCCAGGTCACTGGTTGGTTTGAATGAGCCAGCTTAACTGTATGCTGCAGGTTTTCATGTCTGCTAATTTTTCTTTTCAGACTACTAGAATGTTATTTATTTATTTATTTATTTATTATATTTCTATACCGCCTTTCTCCCGTAGGACTCAAGGCGGTGTACAGTCAAGAAAAATATAGACACACAAACATCATAAAATTGCTAATTAAAATTATTACTTAGTTTGGTCAATTAAATAAAACCCAGAATTAGATAACATTTAAAAAATCATTCACATGTTCATATGTTTAGCCCCGCCTGTTGGAACATCAGGGTCTTGAGGGCACGGCGGAAAGCACGGAGATCAGGGATATTCCGTATCTCCGGGGGCAGTAAATTCCAAAGGGTTGGAGCCCCCACAGAGAAGGCCCTCCCCCTGGGAGTCGCCAGTCGACATAATTTGACTGACGGTACCCTGAGTAGTCCCTCCCTGTGAGAACGAACTGGTCGGTGGGAGGCTATTGGTGGCAAAAGACGGTCTCGTAGGTACCCAGGTTATGAAATGTGCTTGAAATCTGAAACATACCCCTTTTCACTATTAATATTATTAGGGCTGTTAAATAACTCAGATTTCCCACTGTTGCCCTTCAGAGTTATTGGGCTTCAGCTCTCATAATCTCCAGCCAGCACAGTTAAAGGGAGTCGAAGTCTCACAATTCTGGAGGGTGAACAGCTTGGTGAAATCTGAATTAGATTTGTGTTTGAAAAGGCATTTTTGGTTAATAACAGAGATTTATCAACATAGGTATTTTCTTTTTAAAAGCTTTTGTTCAAGTGCAGGCAACAAGTGTCATCCGAGAAGAGGGATTCTATCCTCTATGTGGGAGGAAGATAAATCGCTCTTCTAAGATGTTGCTTGAAGACACAATGGCATAGACATTTACCATCTAAGACGAAACAAACAGTAGTTGGTCATTTGCTGTGTAATATATTTCTCATATGCAAATATAAGCAGTTTTCTCTGGTTTTTAAGCCAACTAAGATTTATTTAATCTGGTCAGTGATAATTTCTGTTTTTCTAGGAAGGTCCTCCATGTCTGCCTCTTCTAGATTTCCAGCATTTACTCCGAGAATCTCAGAAGGAAGTGCTGCGGTTACAGAGACAGATTGCTCTGAAGAATTTTAAGGCAGCCCTGGAGCCCTGTGGTCAGGGATCAGAAGACATTTCTGTAGCTTTTGCAGTGGACTTGGGGCTCACCACATCAGCCAGGACTACCTGCTCAAATGGTTTTTCTCCTACAAGGGTATCACAGCCATGGGAGGAACTGTGCATAGCAGTGGAGGAGACCAGCCAGGTAAATCCTTTGAACTCCTTCCAGTTTATAATCATGCATTTTGTCTACCTTTTAATTATCCACATGCTGGAAAATCGAGAACAAAATCCATCATTCTTAGAATACCAGATTTTTAAGTCCATCTATGCTATCTAACATGAGGGGTTTGCTGTTGTACTATTCCATTGGTCCGCTGCGGTTCTGAGATAGTGAAGACGTTCAACTGGAAGTGGGGCATATTTGAGAGATGAACTGCAGGAGGAATGACAATTAAATATGCCATTCTCTTATGTAATGGTCTGCATTTCCTGTTTTTTTTATCTACTGCTTGTTTCATCCAGGTTGAAAGCAAAGAAAGAGAACCAAGTGAAGCTTAAAAGCATTGCCATAAACAGTATATTTATTTATAACACTTTATCGCACTGTTCAGCTAAAAGACCACCAATGTGGCTTACATATCATTAGCGAGGAGATCCTAAAAATATGACATATACATTCTGTATTTGGAGAACATGCCTAAACAGCTACAGAACTATCCTATTCTTCTGGGTGCTCACAATCTAGTGAGCTGGGTTCACACAATGCTTTGGATGCCGTTAAAAAAAAATACTCAGTAGGTTAGTTTGTTGTACAGATGTAGCTGCTAGGCTTTTATCTGATTAGGTTAAATATGCTGAGTGAACACAGACCAACAAAGGGAGAGGGGAGAAGTCAAGCACAGGTACAAGTTCTTAAAACGAACAACTGTTATCCTGCCTATTTGGAATGAAAAGAGATCAGGCAACACGATGGAATGCCCGCCATGTAGATAACCTTCTGGACAGCCAAAGGTTCTTTGCAGTTGCTAACAGGGGTGAAGAGCCATCAGCAGCTTCAGCATCAAGAGGGCAGTTGGAGCATCAAGGGGACGGTTGGTATGCAACACAAGCCTCACCTCTTTTGTACATGTGTCAATATCACATGCATGCACCATCCATCATTGCTGATTCTGATCTCTCCCCCCGCATCCCACCCCAGCAGATGCTGCCTGGAATAACCCCACATCTCTCTTGTTCCTCTATTCCTTATTCAGATGGAACAGGTTAAAAATGGGTCCTTAGAATGCTGCTGAAGGAGGAGGAGGAGGAGGAAGAGGAGCCAGCAGTGCAGCTTCAGGCCTGGGTGGAGCTGAGCTATTTGCACAAAGAAGAGAGCTGAGCTCTCCCTGGGTGTATTAGACATCATTTGTTTACCAATATGTCTTTTGCAGACTTCCTGAGCAAATGATGTTACTTCATTTCTACATGAAGTAGCCAGAGGTCTTCTGAAGCCAGAGGTCTTCAAACTTGGCAGCTTTAAGACTTGTGGACTTCAACTCCCAAAATTCTCCAAACAGCTATGCTGGCTGAAGAATTCTGGGAGTTGAAGTCCACAAGTCTTAAAGCTGCCAAGTTTGGGGACCCCTGACATAAGCACTCTGTTCAGATAGAGTGGGGTAGAGAACAAGGGGAAATAGGATAAAAAGGCTGAAATGAAAACAACTGCAGAGAATTTCTTCTGATTTTGACTTTGTAGCATCACCCATAAGGGTTTTTTAAATAGACTTTATAGCACTGCTAAGAGTGCTTGAGTTTCTATGGAAAGCATATAGGATAGCCCTCAACATCATTTGGGACTGAAGAAGAGCTTCAAGGAAAGGGAAGTGGCACGAGATGACAGATGAGATTTATATCTTGATCAGACCTAGTAGTGCTTGAAAGATCAAAGGCTAATTCTGTGGGGTGTACTGTACTGGGAAGTGGGGAAAACATCCCAGAAGAAGTGTGGCAAATCATGCACTGTTGCCAAGGGAACTACACAGATGTGAATATGTCACCAAAGTTGAGCTGAACTCAAGAGTTTTTATTTTAGCATGTGGCCAGGATTGTTGGGAGATAAGCTTTTTGATTCCAGTAACACGCTCAGCAATCTGAGCCTGTCTCTCATGTGCTGCTGCATTTCTCTCATCACTAGACCATATTGTTGCCTCTTTCCCCTGCCCTATTGACCCATTAAATTATAGTGCCAATAGGTATAATACTCTGATTGACAGCTGCACCAGATCAGGAATTCCCCGACTTAATCTCACCCCAGCTATAAATACTTAGGGATAGCAATGGTGACTCACTGTTCTCTTCTTTCTTCCTGTTCCCTATTCCTTACATGCGAAACAAACAAAAATACATACTTCTGTCACACTTGAACCTTCCTTGAAAATGTTGACTGAATGGAGAACGGGGGAGATTTGGAACTGCGCCGTGTTTGCACCTCTTCCGGATCCTACTTCAGATCCTGGAGGTTTGGGTGGTCAAATCTGGGAGTTCCCACTATGCACTCAAGGGGTCCTTCCTCGGACCGCAGCTTGGAGCTTTTCCCTGCCCCGTGCCGAGCTGCGGATATTCCTCCCTCTTCCGGACGGCAAAGTGGTTCAGCCCACCGGACAATCCACCGGGCTGGAGCTGTGCCAGCGCGGAGCTGTCCCTGGTGCTGAAGCGGAAGGCGCAGCGGGCAGATAGGAAAGCGCCGGCCAGACGGGTTTTGTACAGGCCGCGTCGCCTTTGGGGTGGCAAAGGGTCTAACTAGGTGGAGGCACGTTTGGCTGAAAAGAGGATCGGGAGGTTGAACCAGCTTTCCTGACGTTGCATTGGTGAGAAACCTAATGTTGTGTTGCCTGCTTTGAGGAGAGGGGCTCCATATCAGAGTTCCATAAATTTAAAGAGGGGTAGGTTTTAATCCCCTATTGAATGCATTACAAAGTATTCCTGAATATGTATATAATTCTTGTTCCTTAAGAGTGTAAATCATTTTAGGAAGCTGGAGGTTGGAGAGAGCATATTTCAGAAACATGATCTCCAAATAATGCAAAGCGGGTAGAATAAAAATCTACATTTGAAAAGCTATTAATAAGGGCTTTAGCTTCTTCTTCTATCAGTTCCCTAACAGAGCCTGATTTTTATTTTTTTTAGTATTTTTTTCTAGAATAGAGAAGTGGCCAATCTATTTCACCTTGCAGGCAGATTACCTTTCCCAGGGCAGTTCCTGAAATCTCCAGCTAAAACCATCCTGCATTTCTGGATAGTGAAAGGTGGATTTTGAAGAACCATTTCAATCCAAAGTAGAAATACTGGCCCAGATCTTGTTTCACACAAGGCAGTTTCCATTTGCTCATTCAGTGTTACAGTGGAAAGAGCCACCTCCTGATCAGAACATAAACCTTCCATCTATTCAGGAGCTTCTATAATTTGCTTGTTTAATTTTTTTAAAAAATATCAAATTTAAAGACCACCCAACTCACAGAGCTACTCAGAATGTCTCAATTCCAGGAAAATAGAACTGTTGCAACTTGGGATGAGACAGCTTCCTTGATGAAAGAGTAGGATTTTAATTAACAGAAACATACAATATTAGGCAAATTTTTCTCCCACAGTTTTTCAGGTACTGCCAGATTAGTAAGGATTACAATCATAAACATTATTTTTTACTTAGAAAAGAACAGCCCCACACCCAGCTATCTTAGACTATATTTTCTATAATCTCCAGTTAGTACTAGCTTTGATTTTCCTGGCTGGGGATAATAGGGGATGAATCCCATTACTTAAAAGGTGCTAGGATAGGAAAAAGAATTTTAAAATCTCTGAATCTTCTTGCTCATGATTAATGCATGATTCACAGATTGAAGCTGAGAAATGATATTCTGGGTTTACTATCAGAGTTTCCTGACATTAGTGGTTTGGGTGTTGATTGAAGTCAAGCCCTTGAGACACCTAAATATAGTGGTACTTTAGCTTTTATCTAGCTTTAATAAAAAGTAATGATTAATGTATAGAGAGGGAGCTTAGATTTTTTCAGAATTGGAATTATATATATCTCCCAATTCTGAAAAATAAATTATGTGTGGGTGTGAATGTGCACACACTTCCATTCAATTGTGTCCACTTCTTGGAGATTGACTGAACAAGTCCCTGCAGTTTTCTTGGCAAGTTTTTCAAAAGTGGCTTGCCATTGCTTCCTTTTTAGGGCTGAGAAAAAGTGACTGGCCCAAGGTCACCCAGCTGTCTTTGTGCTTAAGATAGGTGTAGAACTCAAGGTTGCTCGGTTTCTATACATTTTCTTTGAGAGAGATGGGCAATTCAGAAATATGATTGATAGATATACAGACAAACACATCTATCCAACTCACCAGAGCAGAGAGGCAGGGAATGTTGCGTGTCCCCTCTACTAAGGGCATACATCTGGCAGGACCCAGAAGAATGGCCTTCTCCATGGTGGTTTCTTCCTGTTGAAACATTATCTCCATGGAGATTAGATTGGCTCCCACTTTGACACTTTTTCACAAGGCCCTGAAGACCTGGTTTTGCCAATGGACCTGGGAAACCCTGAGTGGAATGGAGTCCATAAAGTGACTTATCTGATTGATTGTTATTGCCGTGTTTGTGTGTGTGTAAGGTTATTGTTGTATATCGAGTTTTTATTGAGTCACTGAGAATGAGTGGGCAACCATATACATTTTCTTAAATAAATAATTAGAATAATGTTATATGACATCAAAGGTGTGGGATGATAATATATTTATCTTTTATATAATTTTAATATAAATTTATTGTTTATACAAGGAGAAGGAGTGGCATTGCCTGGGGGTGGAGTTAAGAGGAATCAACCTAGATGCATTACGTTCTCACAAGCAGTCTAAGTTCAACCACTTTTGAATTTCGTTAACTCTTATCTAGCACCTAATTAGTACTGACGGTTGAACAGATTCTTGTGTATAAACAAGAAGAATACATCAGCTTAACTGGAACCTAACATGTGGTCCTGATTCTTCACACCTGACAGACATGAAATTTGAGCCTGGACCTACTGATTACTAACTCAGTCTCTTGTATGTAAAAATATAAGGAGTTCTTTATTAGATGCCATTTACAAGTTGAATCCACTTTTCCCAGCATACCATAAGCAGTTATGATGGAAAGTGGACACCCAGGAAGGATGAGATACATTCCAAAGAAGTAAGAGAGCTCGGTCTGGATGTTACGTGTGAGAGTAAAAGAGTGAAGGCAGCCCTTCTTTGGTAGTTTACAGAGTATATTGTAGTTGCAGACAGTAGAGTCCACAGTCTAGCAAGATTTTTGTCTATAAATGTGAAAACAATAAAGAACTCAGCTGGGAAGAATTTCTACTTTGTAATTCTTGGATTTGGCCTGACAGCAGTGCTGTGTTCTGATTATACGTTATGCCTAAACTAATCATATGATGGTTTAATGTGATAGCCTGGCCCCCATAATTTGCACAGATAAATAGCCTGGTTCTCATGGTGTGCTGAATAACAAAGCCACCAAACCTTATTTTAGCCCAGTCTAGATTATTGTGTGAATTCAGCCATACCGAAGTCCACATTCCTGCCTAACCTCAGAGGTGACATCCTACACCCAGAGCAGGTCACAGCAGCAAACAGATTTTCAGGACAGAAACTTAGTCTTAAGACTGGGTGTTGTAAACTGCCCAGTGTTGTAAACCATCCAGAATCACTTAGGTAAGATGGGCAGTGTAGAAATTTAATAAATTAATAAATTTAGTCAACTTGCTAACTCCTATCAGTAAAGAAAGACTGTGGATCACAAAATGAACAGGGCCATTTGCTCTTCAATTTTGCTGAAATTTGTCTGTTTTGCAGTCAGAGACGGGACTGTTTCCTTTCGGAAGAGTACAAAGAAGTGAAGACACATTGTTTTCTGCCCCTGAAGTCAAAGAGCATGTGAAGCATTTGGTGAGTTTTTTAAAAAAAAAATTATCACAGCATATGACAACATCTAGCAAAGATAAGGAGGGTGCTCTAGTTAGTCCTTGGATGGGACATTAACAGGAAATTCTAGAACTATTCAGTAGACTGGGGTGCTGAATTCAATTTCCAAAAAACAATGGCAAAAATTACTTTATGATCTGTACGCATCTTTTTTTTTTTTTAATTTGATTTATATGCCGCCCTTCTCCGGAGACTCAGGGTGGCTTACAATGCGCTAAGCAAAAGCCTTCATTCTTTTGTATATTTTATACAAAGTCAGCTTATTGCCCCCACAATCTGGGTCCTCATTTCACCTACCTTAGAAAGGATGGAAGGCTGAGTCAACCTTGAGCCTTGGAGAGATTGGAACCAGCAGAAATTGCAGGCAGCTGTGTTAATAACAGGGTGCGTAGACCACTGTACTATCAAGGCTCCTTATCTTTAAGGAGTCTTGATCTTTACCTTGCAGAAACATTATCCTCAAAAGTAACTATAGGTAGTCCTCAACTTACAACATGCTTAGTGACCATTCAAAGTTACAAAGGCACTGAAAAAAGTGACTTATGACCATTGCAGCATCTCCACAATCACATGATCAAAATTCGGATGCTTGACAAGTGACTCATATTTATGACAGTTGCAGTGTCCCAGGAGCATGTGATCACCTTTTGAGACCTTCTGACAAGCAAAGTCAATGTGGAAGCCAGATTCACTTAACAACCATATTAGTAACTTAACAACTGCAGTGATTCACTTAACAAATGTGGCAGGAAAGGTCGTAAAATGGGACAAAATTCACTTAGATAAATTTCTCACTTAGCAACAGAAAGTTTGGGCTTAAGTGTGGTCATAAGTCGAGGACTACCTGTACGCTTTTGCAACATAGTTCTGGAAAAGGAAACCTGAGCTTGCCAAGCTGCTAAATCTAGGCCACTTGGGGTTTCAGCATCCTTAAAAATGATGCCATCTCTTTTGAAATAGGTAAGTTTTGTTTGGCCATTTGCCTCTCAGTTTGATTGTCTGCTTTCCTTTTCTGGTAGGACTCTGAGCTCACAAAGAAGAGGAAGCAATGTGAACATTTGGAGCATGAAGTAAAGAAGAAGCACAAGAGATGTGCAGAGCTTGTAAGTGAGTCCCCACCCCCATTGTTGGCATTGTGCTGTTTGCTTGCCTGCAGACTCCTAGAGCTACTTTCAACAGACAGAAGAGGGATGCCTACAAACTCCCTAGGAATGGAAGGTTCAATAACAATAACTAGCTAATAATAGCAAATCACTGATGCAAGTAATACAGCAAGAACAAGAGATTATAAAGAGTGGCAATAGTTCATACAAAGGCTAGCAATTCCCTCCCCCCCAAGTTATACATTAAGAACAATATCTGCTGGGTGTGGAGGGGAAATCCAAAAACTCAAGGTGGTAACTGTGATTGTGTGAGTTATGTCCTGCCTCTTTTTTTACGCGTATTGTGATATTTTTCTTTATAAAAAATGGGGTTTTTATTGCATAGCCAGATATATCATTTTGCCTTTTTTAAAAAAAACAACATACTTATACACCGTGGATGTGCCGTTAAGAAATCGAGCATTGATAATGTTTGATTTTTTTTTTTGTTCAGAAGAAAATGAATTTAACACACATGTTAAACATGTCATTGGATCCTTCAGTGAGAAAGCTTTCTGTTACTTACAGTTTCTTCTGCAGGTTTTTAAATTCCTAAACCAACATTAAGGTGAAATTTTTAGACTGGAATGAAATATCTTCATTGCTGTTGGAATTGACATGGAAGTGAGCTTTGTCAGAATGAGTTTTATGCTGAGTTTTATGCCTAAATCCAAGAGTGCAGAAAGGACAGCCTGGAGAATCACATAGTACCTATCAAGACCCTTATGTCATGACCAGAATACTTTGAGTCAATGGAGCTAAGTTTTTTTTCCCTTTCAGTATTTCTGGAATTTAAGGAAGATTTTACAGAGTACAGTTGGTATTTTAAGCTTTGCAGGTGTTTAAAGTACTCATTTCACTGTTTTAAAACTCCCAAACCTAATTTTAAAAGGCTTTCAAGTTCTGTGTTGCATAGATACTTTTATCTAGCTTTCCCCCCCAAATGTCCCTATTAAAAATGTTTTATTGGAAGTAAATAGCTTCCCTGTATGTATCATAATTTTAAATTGATTCATATATCAATTTAAAAGCATAGCAATGCTATACTGTGATAAGAATTACCTAAGTGACATCCATGGGTGTGTACATGGTAAAGCCTGCAAGATGATTGTGACTACATATTCTTTTGTGCACACAATGATCTATTTCATACTTCCTTTGTACATATATGTGCAAAGTGGGTAGAGCTTCAATCATGGCATTGCACCTGCCATCTTACAGATTTAGACATGGCCCCATAATGCCCATGGTTTAGCTCATTATTTAAACCCAGAATATTGGTTAAGTTGTGGGTTAGGGGTCCCTTAATCACATTTTAAAAGCATGCATTCCAAATCTGGATTAATGGCTGGCTGAAAAAAGTCATTTCTTCTTCAGAGAAATGAGAGAGGATGCAGTACTAGCTACAGAATAGAATCTTACACATTTCTCCCCCATCTTCCTCTATGTAAATCTGTTTCTGCATGATTGTGTGCAAGTTTTTTCAAGACAAAGGACAGGAGAGAAACACTGCCAGTGAATGGTATCCAATTTAATTTGTAATCCACCCAGAGTCACCTTGTAGGGAGATGGGCAGCATAGAAATTGAATGAATGAATGAATGAATGGATGGATGGATGGATGGATGGATGGATGGATGATGAGACACTATGTGCCTATTTTGTATTTAGTAGGAGAAAAAACCGAGAGGCAATGACAAATGTTGTGAAATAAACTGCAGTCAAAGTCAAACCTTAACCATTGTGCATTATTATCAACAGGATTTATCAGGAAAGGAATCCTGAGTTCTCTTCTTCTTTCCAATAGCTTTTGCTAGGTAGCAACATGGAGCTTCTAGCAGGAGGAACAGCTGTTGATAATTTCAACAATCTTTTCCATTTTTTTCTCAAAATGCTTTTTTTATATCATGTTTTCATATTTTCATATATAGTCTGCACAAATATTATTCAGAAACTGCACTTTGTCTCAGAGCTGCATATTTATACCAGGTTGCACTTTTCTAAAAAGTCCTTTCTGAACCCCTGAACAGTGATAGTGGGGAGAGATTCCTTTATTCACAGAAAATCCATGCTTGCTTTCCCCCCACGCAGGAGATCGAACTGCAGGAAGTGCGGAGTGATAATGCCCGACTCTCTGAGGAGAATGCCGTGTTACAGGGGCAAGTCGAGTGGACAGAGAAGGTAATCATGAGATGTTATCTTATATCCCCCCCATTTAAAGTTGTATAAGTTGGTGATTGTAGATCATGGCTTTAGTGTCCCCAAGGAGGTCTTCTTGAGGAATAAATATTTCATTGTAAACCAAGTTCATTCATCTTTCTGGTGTGTTGACTACGGAAGTTGGGATATCAGTACACAAATACATACATTTCTGTAGAAAGACCCAACACCAGTTATGATCATGCTTACAATTCCATCAAATTAATTTTGTATGGAACAAATTAATCAGACCCTAAAGCAGAAGGGATTGTAATGCTCCTTGTGTCAGAGAGAGCTTCTCCTTCTCCTCCTCCTCCTCCTCCTCCTCCTCCTCCTCCTCCTCCTCCTCCTCCTAACCAACTGTATCTCCTATTGCAGGTTGAATCTGAAAATGCTGACTTAAGGCTGCAGGTTTCTGTAGTGACTGAGGAACGGGATTTGGCTCTTCAGAAAACCCAGGAACTCCAGGACAGGCTGGAGAGTCTCGGGCAGGCACTCAAGGTTTGTAGGAAAAGGCTGTTCCAGAGCAGCTACCTTCTGTTGATATCCTTCATTTTGGAAAATTGACCAGCAGAAATGGCAAATTTGGAATCAGGTTGTAATAGACTCCAGATTTTCTGATTAAAAGTTTATTTTGAGGATGTGGATAAGCGCAAATGTCACTTCTTTATTTGTGTTATTCATACTCCTATGATGAATCAAGAGCTTGAAATCAGGAACTGGCATCAACGTGAGACAATTTATAAAACAATTAAAGACGACCTTAGGAATGCTTGACAGACTGTCCATTTTATACACAGGCTCAGCAAAGCCCTCAGGTGGTGATCTTTATTTTCTGTTAAATGCTACTGAAATTCAATAATTAAGACAGTGAGCTGCAAGTCAGAAATAATTGTCCAGTTATGGCAAATGTAAAGATGCTCCTAATTTATGCTTAGCTCCTGGGGACTATACATATGCAATCATATTGTTCCTTGACAACTGGTCTAAGAAAGAGAAAAGCCACAAACTGATCCAGGACTATCTGCAGCTCCAAAAACCTTTGGGGTAACTACTAGCATAGCAAGGAGAAAATTATGCTATCATTTAAATGCACATTTAATCAAATTAAATGAATATTTTGACCCTCTTCTGACATTTTTTTTTCTTTTAGACATAGCCTATTCCTAGAAGCATAGAAGGAAACATCATTATTGACATTGTTGATATTATTGATCAGAGGTTAACATCAACTAGGTTCTATGAATGTCCTAATTGGCATAACTCAGGATGAAAAAAAAATGGTCTGGGAGAAAGCCACTCGGCTTTCTTATGTTTAAAATTTATTTACTTGTTAAAATGAATTACCTGCCCCAATGGACTCTTCCTGATCTTCTTATTTTCCAGCACATGAGAGATGTTGCAGAACGAAGGCAGCAGCTGGAACATCAGCACGAGAAGGCCTTGCAGGCCTTGCAGAAGAAAAAAGATGAGGTCCGACAGCTGCAGCAGGTGACTTCTGTCAAAAGGAGACTTCTTTCTTCCAGGTTTATTCACACAAGCCTGATTCTTCCATCAGCCGAAGGCCCACATATGAATATGTAAACAGACCCCATTGGCAAGAACTGACTTGCTTCGGAGGTTAAGGAAAAATTCTAATGGTGGTGTTTTTACTCTGATGGGTCATTGAGCCCATAGTAATGCCTAGTGCTGCATTGATGTGAACAGATGCAATCTGCCGAAGGATGGGGGAAACACCTCCCTACCATTGGGCAAGGTGAAATTGCTCATGCTTTCATCAACCAACAATTTGATTCTACCCTATTGATATTAAACACATTTTATTTATCATTCATTCATTTATTCAATCTGTCCCCATCTCGGTTAGCAGGATGGTCAACATCCTGCAAATTGAGTTTGGGTTTAATAATGATTTAATGAAAAGAAGGACTAGGGGTGACATGATTGCAGTGTAACAATATTTGAGGGGCTCCCACAAAGAGGGAGTCTATTCAATCTATTATCCAAAGCACCTGAAAGCAGGACAAGAAGCAATGAATGGAACCTAGTCAAGGAGATAAGCAACCTAGAACTAAGGAGAAATTTCCTGACAGTGAGAGTAATTAATCAGTGGAACGATTTGCCTCCAGGAGTTGTAGGTGCTCTGATACTGGAGGTTTTTAAGAAGAGATTGGGCAACCATCTGTTTGAAATACTATAAGGTTTCCTGCCTGAGCAGGGAATTGGACTAGAAGACCTCCAAAGTCCCTTCCAACTCTTTGGTTCTATCAAACAGTCTGCAAATGACATATAATTGTATAATAAAATAACTGTAGTAAGAAAAAAAAATTAAGAGTGTATCAAGGAATACAAAACGGTCTTCCATTCACTGGCATCACTCAATTGCGGTAAGCCTTCTGAAATATCTAATAGAATCCAGATGGGCCATAATGTGGAGACCAACTCAGTATCAACTGGGGGGCTGTTCCATAATTGGGGTGCAAAGCAGTGGTGAAATCCTCCACAGTTTGCCACTGGTTCGCTGCCCGCACATGTGCACTGTGTGCCAAACGCATGTGCAGTGCATGTCAAATGCATTCTGCACGTGCACGCAAGCACAATACGCACCAAACACAAGCTGCGTGTGGAAAAAGAAGGCTTGGGAAGATAAGTAGAACAACGAGGGGGGGAACAGCTGTGCTGCACGATTTAGATTCACTAGAAAGCAGGATTTCTTGCTTTCTAGCGATTTTAAATCCCGTGGCACAGCTGATCATCGGAAATATTGGTTTGGTCCAACCAATAGCTTTTATCACTACCAGTTCACCCGAACCGGTGCAAACCGGTAGGATTTCACCACTGGTGCAAAGGTGGCAAGTACCCCCGCTTCCTCTCACCTTGTAGCATTTGTCAACCCAAGTAGTGTCTCTCTGGACTAAATTCCACATATACAGAATACTGAGATATTGTTGGTCATTTTTTAAAAGAATAGATCAAATTTCCCCATTACAATATAGCTTGATTATGGTTTACACTATTATGTGTATTCACCTGTTATAAACCATGGTTTAACATAAACCTAATCAGTACACCAAGTGCAAATACAAAATGACTAGGCAGAATTTATAAATTCAGTCAAGTCTACAAGCAAATCACCCACTTCTGTGTCAATGAAGATAAATATTCCTGGGATAGCCAGCCCCCTTAAACTTTCTTTTCTCTTGGATTTAGGCTCAGGCTGAAGCTAGGAAAGAACACGAAGGAGCAGTGCAGCTTTTAGAGGTAAGGAGAGGAGAAAATAAAAGAAGGGGAGGTAAAAACCAAAGAAAAAACCCCATTTAAGATACAGTCAGGTATAATTTAGTTTATTTAAAATAAACAAGAAATTTTCACATCAAACACTGCCAGCTCTATGTGGAGCATGTGCTTATCTTTAGAGAAGAAGACCCAATTAAATTTGTCACCATGGAAAATACCAAGAGATTTCCCACTGCAGTTCATTGGTTCGAAGGCAACGTCTCATCCGGTAATGGGCTATGAAAATAACCTTGGAAGACAGGAGAAAGAGGGTCTGAAATATCTCTTATCTGAGTGTTGCCCTGGCTACAGCTCTTTCTCCTGTCTCCCAAGGTTAATCTCACAATCCATTACACTTCCAGATGTGGGTTTTCAATTGATTTATCCAGTCCTGCAATCAATCACCAGATTTGTACTTAAGGAAGGTGGTGATGTGCAGTTAACAACTTTTTTTCCCCTTCTGTTTCTTGTCTTGTCAGAATTCCTTGGATTCTATGCAGGTACTAATGGTTTCAGATGTGCCGAAAATGTCCTGTTTTTCCCTCTTTCCTCCAACAAATCTTGATTGCTTCAGAGGCGTTTGGAACAGAGAAATACTATGTTTTATATGCATTATGGAGAGTAGCCAATGAAAGAATTGGAGAAAAATTGAAAGGCACTCGAGAAGCAATAATGTATATTTCTCATTTCCAAACTTGCATATAATTGTTGCATCTGTATTAGCCCAGCAGAACAAGAGCAAGGTTTCAATTGCACAAGGCTGTTCTTTCCGATGACTGTCAGAGGAAGGGAAGAAATGTCCAAACAGTAATGGGTGTATGGGAAAATATGTAAATTTGACACTCTTAATGTGTCCTTCACTCCAGATAGTCTTTGACTTATAACCGCAATTGAGACCAGAATTTCCATTGCTAAGGAAAGTTGTGTAGGAAGTTGTGCCCAATTTTATGAACTTTTTTGCCAGATATTAAAAGTAAATTACTGCAGTTCTTAAGTGAATCATGTGGTTGTTAAGCAAATCCCACTCCCCCCACTAATTTAGCTTGTTGGTGGATTACATGACCCTGGGACACTACAATCAACATAAACACATGCCGGTAGCAAGTGCCCAGATTTGGAGATTTGAGCTCAAGTCACCCATTCCCACTCGATACACTAATCAAACCTGACTATAAATTGCTGATTCTCCATACCTTGCTCTTTGTTACTTGGCTATCATCTTTCCATCCTAAATGTTAAGCTTCACTGGTGGGATTTCTCCGGTCTGAAGGAACTCTTGCTGAAAAGTTAGCTAATGAGAAGGACTTCTTGTTCCTTTGAAGTCAGAAAATGGTTTTGTTTCCTGTTTCACTTGTCTTGATGGTTCCCCTCCCTAATCCTTAAATTGAGTTCATGTATCTGTTAATTAGCCATAAACATTTGGCTGGAAGAAGATTCCTTGCCCTTGTTCTTTGTGGCATGCAGAGAAGGAGATGATGTGCATGTATTGTTCTGTAGAAAAAATAGTAATGTACATGTGGTTAACATAGAAGCACTGTGTGTGGGGGGGAATGTATGATGAATAGAATGTCTTCTATTCATTGTCATTCATAACATGTCTAGTCTGCAATTGGGCTCTTACGTTTGGTAACCATAAAAGCAATAGCCCACCGAACCTCTTTTTACTGATGTTCTTTCATTCTTTCAGAGGCTTTTGCAGAAAGGAAAAAAAACTAGGGATTTTTTTTTCATTCTAGTCTCTTTGCAGTCACAATTCTTCCCCCTTTGTCAAGGTTCTAACGTTTTACACTGTTTCCTCTTGTGATGAGCTACAATGGCTGATCTTTGCACATGAAGGTTTATCCCACAGTCCAGCACAGGGCTGCCTTTTAAAACCAATTCCTATAACCTCCCAAAAAATTAGTGGATGCTTTCCTCTACCAAAGATAGTGCTGAAAACCTTTACAAAAACAATTACAAAATATGTAATAAAAATACACTATGTAGCATGCAGAGTGAGAAAGCAGCACCTCCTAAAGTTTATGTTGCTTATGAAGAGAATGCCCTTGTCCCAAAAGAAAGGTACTCACTATCAGAGAAGGTGCCAACTTGATTTCCTGAAGATGCAAATTCCAGAATTTAGATCAGCCCTTTGACATGTCCCATCCTTTCCACCTGTGTCACTTCTGGGAAATGGAGACAGTCTCTCCATTGATCTTGACAAGCAGGCAAACTCATATAGAAGGGAATAGTTGCTGAGATACCACCAACGCTTTAAACTGCGTCCAAAAACAAACAAGAAATTAATGCCCACATTTGCAGGAACTCTAATATAATTTTGCTATGCTGTCCCAAGCAGATGCATCATGAAATTAAATCTTTCAAAGATCTATGATCTACTGGATGGGAAATGATTATGTAATCCATCCAAAATGCAGTACCCAGAAACAACAAATCACTCACTCACTCACTCAATCAATCAATCAAAGTCCTTCACCCAAGGACTCTAAGCCAACTTCTTCCATCTTAGAAGTTTCTAGTAATGTGATTGTAACTTCCATAATTACCCAACCAGAATTGAATAATGCTGAGAGTTCCGGTTGAAGCCCACTTAAGATAGGAGGGGGGGCACTTTTTGTCAGTGGACCGTAGTGGACTTAGGGTAGTCAGCGTGTGTCTGTGGATACTAATCTGCAAGATGGACCATCTTCCTCTGTTCCCTTAAAATCTCTTTCTGTTCCTAAGATCTGCCTTCAGCTGTAGCTAATGTTTTTTCTTTGTGATGCAGGCCCGTGTGAGAGAGTTGGAAAACCAATGTCGCAGCCACACAGAACAGTTTAACTTCCTCTCTCAGGAACTCAATCGATTTCGCCTCCAAACTGGAAAATTAGGTCTTCCATCCACTCCCTCCTTCTGTTCTTCCCTGGCGACTTCAGAGATCGTCTTTGCTACTTGCAAGAGTTCTCCGCAGCTCCCCAATGGCTTCAAGCAGAAAGGTGACGGTATACAAGAGAACCCTTGCATGTTTCTTTGGTGTTCTTGTTGACAACAGAATAATTCAGAAAAGGAAGCACCAAGTCATCTAAAAAATTTCAACATACATCTCAAAGTATGTACAGGTAGTCCTCGACTTACAACAGTTCATTCAGTGACTGTTTGAAGTTACAACAGCAGTGAAAAGGTGGCTTATGACCATTTTTCATACTTATGACTATTGCAGCATCCCCATGGTCACATGATCAAAATTTGGATGCTTGGCAACTGGCTCATATTTATGATGGTTGCAGTGTCCTGGGGTCACGTGATCACCCTTTGCGACTTTCTGACCAGCAAAGTCAACGGGGAAGCCAGATCCACTTAACAACCATATTAGAAACATAACAACGGCAGTGATTCACTTAGCAAGTGAAACTGTGGCAAGAAAGGTTGTAAAATGGGGTAAAATTCACTTACTAAATATTTCACTTAGCAACAGAAATTTTCATAAATATTTCACTTTAGCAACAGAAAGTCATAAGTCGAGGACTACCTGTATTTTATAGGGTGCCTGCTGTAATGCTTGCTTTTCTCACCCTGATGTCATCTAAATGTGTTGGATTGTGATTCTTAGAATTTCTTATCAATTAGGCACTGCTGTCTTGGAATCCTGGGAATTATAGTCAGGGTAGAGTAGAGTTTTATTTGGAAATTAAGGTTTTGGTGATACAATAGACTGGTTTAGAATAAGATGTTAGAATTTGTGTTAAAAACTTTTCTTTTGATTTTTAATTTTAAAAGATGTATCGGGGAAATTGGGAATAGAGTTTGTTAAAGGAATGTAAGCGATTGTACCTATCTATGACCAGATCAAGACTTCGTTCTTAAAAGATATATTTTATGTTTATGTTTGGAAAAAAATAAAAAAAATATTTTTCAAAAAAAAAAAAAAAGGAATCCTGGGAGTTATAGTCAGGGTGCCATACTAGGGAAGGACGTTTTAATTATTTTAGGATGATCTCAGTCATAACCTGAAGTAGAAACTGTAGCTCATACAGAAGCACGGTGTTGCAGACAAAAGATCCTCCATTCAATCTACAACTACTTTAAATAGACTCAAGAAAAGATATTGCTTAAAAACTGAAGAACTACTGCTGGTCAGTTTAGATGGTACAGAACTAGAATGACCAGTGATCCAATTACGGCCACCAGCTTTGCCCTTGCCAAACCATCAGCATATTTTCAGTGCTCTGCAGTGCTCCATGACTGTCCTAAATCAGACCGTGTTCCCTCCCAAGCAGCCAGAGGGAGAATAATAAAAACTGGCAGACTTGAAACTCCAACCCCCTCTCCGTTCTTTCTTCAGCATGTTTGCTTCTCTGTGGCAAGGAACAAAATAGGGAAAAAACTCCTCCAAGCTACTGTTGAGAATGCAGCAAAAGTACCTCTCAGAGCAGCCAGAAAGCAATTAACAAATTAAAAAACAAAACAAAACCCAGGGATGAGCCATGATGCAACTTGAAAATATCCAGAAGCCTCGGAGTTCCTCCCAGTACAGAAACACTGCCGGTAGCTGTGAAATTATTGATTGGTTAAATTTATTTACTTGCCCATCTCGTATCCAGCAACTCTGGGCAGCTTGAATGAAATTCTTCCTTTGCACCAAAGCAGCAGCTGAAGCAATTAATTTCAGAATGAAAAGTTCTGGAAGGCCCATAGCATAATGAGGTTATGCAAGGCTGGCATTGATGTTGATTTGGCAAACAAACAAACAAACAAAAAAACAAATTGGTAAAGAAAAATTCACAGTAACAAATAGTTTTCTTTTGTGTCAGGACCGCAGAAACACAGAAGACTGCCTCCTCTAAAGGGGACTGTTTCCCTATGAGCTTGGTTAAGATTGTTTTTCCCAACCTGATGGAGACTGATGGGGAAAGGGGACAACCCAGGTCATTGGCGGAGTGCCTAATGCTGCTTCGTCTTCTTGGCAATGAGTGTGATCCCTCTCCAGCATTGGAACACCTCCACCCAGTGGAAGCTGCTTGGAAGGAAAAACACCCAGAACTGTGACTCATTCGGACATGGAACAGGAGATCTTTGCTAAAGGCATTTCATATGGACTCAAGAGGAGCTTTAAATAGCTTCTTTATTTGTTTCTTGTTCCATCCTGAACGTTTTCTCTGTGTTTACCCCATGCTGGTAATTTCTCATTCACACACTGCAGTATTTTAAAGGTCATGGAATTGACTTTTCCTTTTCTTAACCAAAATTTTTAGTAGCCACGAAGTCCTTGGATTGTATATTAAAGATGATCTGGGTAAATTAGAGAGTCTACAGTTTTTCAAAAGATTCAGCCTCTATGTCTATACAGTAGATTTAAATCCATGCAGTAAATTTAAGATTCTTTTCAAGTAGAAACTTCTGAAGAGGAATAAAATTCCTTCTTTCTTCTGGTTTGCGTATATGTGTGTGGGGGTGTGGGGGGTTGGGGTTGGGAAGAAAGGTGGTTCAAATTTTATTCAGGTGGTCCTCGACTTATGACCATAACTGAGCCCAAAATGTCCATTGCTAAGCAAGGCAGGCCACTTTATGACCTTTCCTGCCATAGTTGTTAAGCAAATCGCTGCAGTTGTTAAATTAGTAACACAATTGCTAAGTGAATCTGGCTTCCCCATTGACCTTGCTTGTCACAAAAGGTGATCACATGACCCTAGGACATTGCAACCTTCACAAATACTTGCCAGTTGCCAAGTGTCCAAATTTTGATCACCTGACTATGGGGATGGTGCAAGGCTCGTGTGAAAAATAGTCAGAAATCACTTTTTTCAGTGCTGTTGTAACTTTGAAAGGTCGCTAAATGAATGGTTGTAAGTCGAGGACTACCTGTATTTCAAAAAGGGAAAGTTGGTGTTGTATACCAGCTTTATGGTTCTTTTCTGTAATGAAACCTGAATGTTCTTTGAACTCTATGGCTTTGCTTGTCCTCCCTACCTAGCGTGATGTACAATGTTTGGTTTCAGATCCCGAAATTGTCCCTGTATCTCCACGGAGCAGTAGAAAAGTTCAAGATGAAGAGGTGGAAAGGTTCTCCCCTGTGGCACTTCGGCTCGTGGATCCTGTGGTGTCTCCTGTGGCCCGAAGTCCAGATACAAGCAGTCCCCCAGTTGCCTCAAAAAAAGCAATCAAGAGGTTGGAAGCCCAGTCCAGCTCTTCCAGATCTGAGTCCATGCACAACAACAGCCCCAAATCCTGCCCCACTCCTGAGGTCAGTAATGGATGTGTGAGGAGATGGCCAGAGTAGAGATGGTTGGGCTACCACTAAACCCTTTCTCAATACAACATGCACATGAGATTGATCTGTGCTGTTTTGACCATTTGCAAACCTATATCCTATATTCCAGCATATAAACCCAGAAAAGTGAATAAGAGTAAACCTAGCCAAAAATAATGATCAACAAGCTCTAACTTTCTGTTTCCTTCTGAGCAAGTTAGAGAGAAAAATCTTCCTTCTCTTCTGAAGGGGATTAATTGACATAACAAAACTATCAAACATTTGGATATATTTTCCCCATTGTCAGTGGTTTGTCTTTTTGCACTTTTACTCAAAAAGGTAGTGACTCTCATCTTGGCCACTTTAAGATGAGTGGACTTGAACTCCTAGAATTCTGGGAATTGAAGTCCACACATCTTCAAGTGCCCAGGATTGAGAAACACTGGTCTCGACAAATATATGTAGTCCTCAATTTATGAATGTAATGGAGCCCAGCATTTGGTATGTGGTAAATCATTATGGTTGTAAATTGAGGCATCTATGTGACTAACCTGATTTTATGACCTTTTTTGCGGTGGTTGTCAATGGCATGGTCACTAAGCAAGTCAATGCATTTTTTGCTGGAAACATCAGGCTGCATAACTCCAGGATGCTGCAACCTGTTGTAAAGGTGAACCAGTTGCCAAGGGTCTGAAATGCAGTTATGTGACCACAGGGGGGCAACCACCATCAAAACTCCAGAACCAGGTCATCAGTACCTTTTTTTGGGGTGGGAGGGGGTTGTCATAATGTCGAATAGTCACTAAGTGAGCACTTGTTAAGTAAGGACTACCTATGAAGTGCAAGGTGATCAAACTGGTCAGTCCTAGAGGAGATCAACCCTGACTGCTCTTTAGAAGGCCAGATCCTGAAGATGAAACTCAAATACTTTGGCCACCTAATGAGAAGGAAGGACTCACTGGGGAAGAACCTAATGCTGGGAAAGATTGAGGGCAAAAGGAGAAGGGGACGACAGAGAACGAGGTGGCTGGATGGAGTCACCGAAGCAGTAGGCGTGAGGTTAAATGGACTCTGGGGGATGGTAGAGGACAGGAAGACCTGGAGGAATGTTGTCCATGGGGTCGCAATGGGTTGGATATGACTTTGCGACTAACAACGAAGTCCTCCTCTTTTGCAAGACATGCAAAGCCCCAGTGCTTAACTGTTCCTCTCCCTCTGCTCTTCCCCATGGCTCATCTATTTTAGAGAGAACATCTGCTAGGAAACGGAAATTCCCCATCCATGGAAACAGCAGAGTTGCAAGCCTTATCACAATGATCACCAGGGGCTCAACTTGCACCAAAATCAGGAGTGTTCTTTCAGCTACTAACATTATTAACCAACTGCTTGCTTCTCTAGAGAGAGAAAATAATTAAGGGTGCAGTAACTAAACAAATAAACAATAAGAGTCCAACTGGAATATTCTGAGAGTTATGTAAAATTAGAGAAAATATGGCAGGGGATTGATCAATTCATTTATTGTAATGTATCTATTTACTGTTTATTTATTCCATCTCTACGGTCTACCTTACCAACATAATAAATAGTATCTTCAGCAATAATGACAAAGATTGTTGTGAGCCACCTAGAGTTGATTTGGAGTTGGACAGCACCTGAATCGAATAAAATTAAAACACATAAAAACAAAAAGTCTAATTAAAAAGCAAAATTAAAAATTTACAGCCTAATTAAAACACAATTAATTTTTTTTTAAAAAAGCCTCACCCAACAGCAGCAAATCTCCAGAAAAGAGGTGTTTAAATAAGAAATATTTTGCTTACGGGTGGAAAAATATCAGAAGTGAAATTAGCCTGATTTAGGAAAAAGGATAAGGGTGGGGTTTTTTTTGGTTTTTTTATTTGATTTATATGCCACCCTTCTCCGGAGACTCAGGGCGGCTTACAATGCGTTAAGCAATAGCCTTCATCCTTTTGTATATTTATACAAAGTCAGCTTATTGTCCCCACAAACTGGGTCCTCATTTAACCTACCTTAGAAAGGATGGAAGGCTGAGTCAACCTTGAGCCTTGGCGAGATTCGAACCTGCAGTAATTGCAGGCAGCTGGTCTTAATAACCAGCTTAATAACAGGGTGCCTTAGACCACTGTACTACCAAGGCTCTTAAAGGTTAAGGTGTTTCTGGAAATGAGGCAGAGGGTTGCATCCAATTAGGCCAATGGCCAGATGTTAACCTGTTTTGGTTAGATGGGTCAAGAGAGATGCAGTTCTGTCATGTCTCAGCTGCCCTTTGGTTCCAGAATGGAACCAGAGCTTCAGCAGCACCATGCAGAAAAGCCCCCAGGATATCCCCCACTTCCCTCTAGTCTAGAACCTATTAAGTGGACCGCTTAAATGTTTCCAGCCTCCCTGCAGAGTGGGGCGGCATAAGTAATCTCAAGGGCCCTTATTTACTTATTTATTTATTTTAATATATTTAAGAACCGCCCATCTCACTTACAAAGGGACTCCGGGCAGTGCACAAATAAAATATTAAAAAATATTAAAAGCATAAAAACAGTATATAAAATTTAATAAATAATAAATTTAAATTTAAAAGAGGCAAGAAATATTAAATTAAGAGACATGGTGGCACAGTGGTTAGAATGCAGTATTGCAGGCTAAATCTGCTGACTGCCAGCAGTTCGATTCTCCCCGGCTCAAGTCCATTCTTCTGAAGTGGGTAAAATGAGGACCCAGATTGTTGGGGGCAATATACTGACTCTGTAAACTGCTTAGAGAGGGCTGTAAAGCAGTGGCCTCCAACCTTTTGAGCACCAGGGATTGGTTCCATAGAGAAAGGTTTTTCAGTGGACCGAAGGGGGCATAGCTTTGCATGCTGCCTACATCCCGTGGATGGGACTTTGCTTGTTTGCATGGCCCAGTTGCAGGCATGCTGCAGACCGGTGCCAGTCTACAGACCGGGGGTTGGGGATCCCTGCTGTAAAGCACTATGAAGTGGTATATAAGTCTAAGTGTTATTGCTATTAAAATTAATTAAAACATGGGGTAAGGGCATTTAGGCCACTAACCAGGCCCACAGATACGGGCTCCTCTGTGCATCCTAGGTAAAGCTGCAAAGCTGTGTTGTCACACTTTTCCAGAAGGCCAGGAGAGTGGGGGCCCATCTCACCTTTGGGTGGGGAGTGTTCCACAGGGCAGTGGCAATGGCAGAGGAGGCTCTTTTCCTGGACCATGCCAGTCAGAATTCTTTAACTGACGGGGTCTGCAACATACCTTCCCTGCCTGGTTGGTTGGGACGGGCTGATGTAAAGGGATAAAAATAGTTTGGTAGGAAACCAGGCCCCATGCCATGAAGGGCTTTAAAGGTCATAATATCTTGAAATGGACTGAATTGGACTGTGCTAAATTTGGTTCCTGAACTAGACTGTTTTCTAGGTTTGCATAATGCACTGAGCTGTAAAATAACTAAGTGGGTTGAGTTTTTACAACCTGCTGAATCGTTAAAACGAACAGTTCAAGGTTAAAATGAAGTTTGCCGTTAAGCCTTTATTTGCCTTAATTAAGCATCTTCTGCAAATACATCATTTCATCATCACCGTTTCATCATTTTCTACATGCCCTTAGGTGGATACAGCCAGTGAAATGGAAGAATTGGACATTGACAGCATCTCATTGGTACCTGAGCAGGAGAACCATGATCCAGTAAAACTTCAGGTCTTCTTGGCTCGATATAGGTAGGGTTGTACAAAGAAACCAACTGGGACATTAGATATTAAGAATGCAAATGATTTGTAGCAAATGTTGGATTTCATGTGATGTAACGGGAAAAATTATTGCATCTAGAGACTGATGGAATCGTGTTTGCAGAGGTGGGTTTCAGCAGGTTCTGACCAGTTCTGGAGAACTGGTAGCAGAAATTTTGAGTAGTTCGGAGTAGTTCCGCCCCATCTATTCTCTGCCTCCCGAATCCCAGCTGATTAGGAAGAAATGGGGATTTTGCAGTAACCTTCTCCTGGAGTGGGGTGGGAATGGAGATTTTACAGTATCCTTCCCCTGCCACGCCCACCAAGCCATGCCATGCCACGCCCACCAAGCCACACCCACAGAACCAGTAGTAAAAACATTTGAAGCCCACCACTGTGCGTTTGGTAAGGAAAGGCAATGAACAATTGCAAGTTATACATGGAAAGAGTGCCTATGCTAAGAATAAGACTAAGTGGATGAATTTGTGTATCTTGATAGAATGTCTTCAAAAATGGATGGAGAAAATGTGTTAATTAAGAATGTGTTAATTAACCCTAAAACATGCACAGGGTCCAAATAGCTGTTGAATCAGTATGGACGGAATATAAAAATGAGCATCTAATATAAAATGATGTTATATATTAGTCATATCAAGAGAATGAAAGTGAATTGCAAAATAGATGAAGTAAGTGAAGAATGGGAAGTGGATGATGTCATAGTTGATGGAACTGATATCCTGAGAAACAGAAAGATGACAGATTTACAAGAAAAAAAGCAATATATGGAAATGATGGAAACAAGAATGGTTTACAAAATTAAAAAAAAAGGACAGGAATGTGAATGTTATGGTATAGGTTTAGTTAGGCTTCCTTTCCTTTCCTCTTATCTCCTCTCTTTCATCTCTTATTCTCTTTCTTTCTTTCTTTCTTTCTTTCTTTCTTTCTTTCTTTCTTTCTTTCTTTTCTTCTTTCTTTCCTTCCTTCCTTCCTTCCTTCCTTCCTTCCTTCCTATCTGCATTATGTGTAATGCTTTACTCTTAAAGAGGTTAGCCTGGGGGAAGGGATATGCATGCGTGGTTTTTCTCAAAATTTTCCTATTCACCAGGTTTATTTCAAAGCAGGAATGAATATCATCCAGATCATATTGGTCAATGATTATAAGAATATCATCCATTCAGTTCAAAATATCATTCAGTTTACCTTCTAATGACAGCTGGGGTATTTGATCTGCAGATACATATTGGCAGACTTCAGCTTGGATTGTAGAAACTGAAATATGTAGGAGATTAGCAGTTAAGATCTATCCTGATACAGCACAGAGAATAGCTGCTCTTTTTCATTCTTCACTTAGATCTTTTTTGTTTTGTTTTGAGCTGGATCACTGTGGCCACTCTGTGAATAATAAACAGGAATGACAGACCAAAAAATGCTTCAGAAGAAATTTTCATACCTGCTGCTCTCTAACTCACAACTTAGTTATAGGAATTTGGCTTAGGTATTAATCTGGCAATCTGGTGGCTCAGCAGACTAAAAGCACTGTGATTAACACCAGCAGTCTGCAATTACTGTAAGTTCAAATCTCACCAGGCTCAAGGTTGACTCAGCCTTCCATCCTTTCTAAGGTAGGTGAAATGAGGACCCAGTTTGTGGGGGCAATAAGCTGACTTTGTATAAATATACAAAAGGATGAAGGCTATTGCTTAACGCATTGTAAGCCGCCCTGAGTCTCCGGAGAAGGGCGGCATATAAATCAAATTTTTAAAAAAGGTTATCAATTTTTTGGAAATTGGACCTTCTTTCTGAACTGTATCCAGTGTGTTTGGAATTCTTTTGTCCCCATTTTCATTTTCACATTTTATGCAAAACTCTTCCATGCAGAGTTTGTCTTAAATTTCAGTTTTGTCACTTAGTGTTCTTTTCTCCTCTTTTGCAGCATCAAAATTCTCATCAGTAACATAGCACGAAAAAGCAGGCTGGATTCCTAACCTGTAATCTTTTTATCCGTGCACAAACACATACACTTCCATTATTAAAATCCTGCACAAAAACAATCTTAGGCAGTCATATATATAAATCCACCAAGTCTGCTTTTTTTAATTTAGGTGCGGCATTTTTTAATATATAGCTGTACAGAAGTAATTGTGAAAGGAGAAAAAGTACAAATGAGTAAAGCAATCTGCACAAGCTCTCATTTTTTAAATTAATGTTAGATATTCCCTTAATTTAAAACGAACATTACAAGAAAGACCCAAAGGTGCTTTTTCAAAAGGCAACTGGACCTTCTTTGTTTTTGCTTGAAGACGTTTCACTTCTCATCCAAGAAGCTTCTTCAGTTCTTCTTCAGTTCTTCAAGCGAAAACTAAGAAAGTCCAGTTGCCTTTTGAAAAAGCACCTTTGGGACAACCATGACCTGGATGCCTGGGAATCTCCATAGACAATGGAATGGAAAATCCAAAGCAATACTACAGGATCATATGTAAAAGAAAAGACTCTTCATCTTTGGTATTGAATTTTCATATCCTCTTTGCCTCTGCTAGAATACCTTTGCAGACAGTTTCCCTGCCATCCTCACTTTAAGAAGCAGATTCAGATGGTGGCCAAATTCCTTCTTGAAGTCTCCTATCAGACTTCAAAATGTTCTCCTTACATTCATTTCAGTTACAATCCTTTTGATGGCCCCAATGAGAATCCTGAAGCTGAACTACCACTTACGGCTGGCGAGTATATTTACGTTTATGGAGAAATGGATGAAGATGGCTTTTTTGAAGGTATGCTGTAACATGCATGAAAAAATGGAGTTGTAAAGGAGGCACAATATAGAACAACTCATCAAAATAGCCTTGTGTATGGGAGTGGGTGGCTTTAATAAATTTAAAGTTTTGTTAATATTTATTACTGCTAATAAAAAACCTGGGATAAGTTGGGTGTTTTTAACAGGAATTCAGCCATCAGCAGGGGATGGGCTAATCCAAAGAATAGGAGATGATCATATAACTGATGGTTTTCATATTCCCTTTGTAAGAACCTTGAATGTAAAAAAGTAAGAAAACTGACTTTTCAAAGATTTTAGTTAAAATTATTCAATTTTACTGTTTAGATCAGTTTTTCAATTCAATTCAATGTTACTATTAATTTTTTTCAATTAATCTTACTGTAAGGAAAAATTTTAAAAATTAATTTTACCTGCTGTAGGCCTCAGCTGCATCTGAGCTGCTTACAGAAATAAAATCAGCACAATAAAAGAGACCTGATGTGGTATAATAATTAAGATGTCAATTGGAGTAGGGAGGTCCACACTGTAGTCCAACTATATTCATGGAAGTCACGGGATAACTTTGGGCCTGTCATTCTCAGCCCAACTGTATTTACCAATCATATACTTTTAATAACTCTATATGCTGGGCTGCCATTTATGGCTATTCTTCAGCAACCAGAAACATAAGAACGTAAAGTCTGGTTGTTGTTTTTTTTTTTTATTGAAAAAGTTTTAAAGTCTGGTTGTTGTTGTTAGTTGCGAAGTCGTGTCCAACCCATCGCGACCCCATGGACAACATTCCTCCAGGCCTTCCTGTCCTCTACCATCCTCTGGAGACCATTTAAGCTCATGCCTACTGCTTCAGTGATTCCATCCAGCCACCTCATTCTCTGTCCTCCCCTTCTTTTGCCCTCAATCTTTCCCAGCATTAGTTTCTTTTCCAGTAAGTCCTTCCTTCTCAAAAGTCTGGTTAGTTTATCTTAAAGATCCAATCTTCCTGTTTTTCCAATCATAAACAATATCTTGCAGAGGGAAGACATATCTAAATCAGGAGAAATGTTTTGGAAATATATTTTAAATGGTCTGTGTTAGAATAGAATGGAATGGAATGGAATGGAATGGAATGGAATAGAATAGAATAGAATAGAATAGAATAGAATAGAATAGAATAGAATAGAATGAGTAGGGTAGGGTAGGGTAGAGTAGTGTAGAGTGGAGTGGAGTGGAGTGGAGTGGAGTGGAGTGGAGTGGAGTGGAGGAGTGGAGTGGAGTGTATAGGGCAGGGCAGGACAGGACAGGACAGGACAGGACAGGACAGGACAGGACAGGACAGAATAAAACTTTATTGTCACGTTGAATGTACATTAATCAGCATACATTAAAATGAAATTTCATTGCATACAGCTTTCAAAGGGTCACCACCTCCAAATATTACATAATTATGTATACATTACATAAACAGGACGCGGGGGTGGTGGTGAGTGATTTCATCTGACGCCACAGGTCTTCTGTTCTCTCATGTTGTTAAATTCATCTTCAGGGGAGCTGATGGATGGCCGGAGAGGCCTTGTCCCTTCCAACTTTGTGGAGCGACTTGCAGATGATGACCTGGTTACTTTCTTGCCTCAGGAACTCCATGATCTCTCCCAAAGCTCCCCTCTTGAGCGGAGTTTTCTCAGCATAAGTATCAGCAGTGGAGAGAGAAGTGATTATTCCTCGGAGGAGCTCAATGCCAGCACAGCTCCCTCTAGGCTAGAAGGGGACCAAGGAGAAGGAGGTATTTCCATTGCAGTGCCTTATCCCAGAAAGGTGACTCTAATCAAACAGTTTGCCTCTAGCCTCTTGGTGACATGGGATCCACCACTGGTGCCTAGTGGAAGCTGCTTGGATGTCCAGAGCTACAATGTCTATGTGGACACTGAACTCCGGGAAAATGTGAAGGCCAGTTCCCAGATGAAGGCCATGATTGACAAACTGGACTTGAAAACAAAAGCCTATCGTGTCTCCATACAGAGCGTTTCAGAGAGAGGGAGCTCAGACAGACTGCAGTGCACGTTCCTGGTGGGGTGTGGTTTTGCCTTAGCTCCAAGTCAGCTCCAAGTGCGGAGTGTCAAGGCCACTTCCGTGGAGCTCTCCTGGATATCAAGCAACAGCAATTTCCCACATACCATATACCTCAACGGGGGAGCATGTGATATAGTGAAGGCTGGAATATATTGGTACACTTTTCGCAACCTGAACCCAAACACTTCCTACATTGCCACAGTCGAAATCCAGCCTCAACAGACTTTCTGGAAACCATTCCCAGAGGTGGAGGAGCAGGTCTTGTCTGCAGAGATCCAATTCACTACACCTTCAGCAGGTAAGTGAAGCTTTTAGAGATTCTGGAGAATTGGACGCAGTATTCCAACTGTGGCCTCACTAATGCAGTATCAAGTGGTATTATCACTGTTCAATGGTTCTGAGATCACATCTGTCAGCTGTCAGGCCTGGAAGCCATCTTTTGCATTGGGCCTTCAGGCCTGCCACATTTACTACTGTGAGAAATTGGGAGGGGGGATTGTGTGGAGCACGGGTGATATATAGTCATAATAACATTCCTTTCTCAGAGAGTCAAGGACATCTTGCCCTGCACCTGGAGGGTTGGAACTGGGAGGCATCTCCAGTAGGGACGATGTTTTGATTGGACCATGTGATGGACATGTGGGTGCTGGGCAGGGACTTGGATTTTCCTTTGGGTGGGGAAAACCTGGAAGCTTTCAGATTCGGGCTTTCCCTGACACCAGCTCTTCTTCAGAACCCTGCGATGTAAACCATCTGGTCCTGGCAATTTGAACTCATCTAGATTGGATAGGTGTTCTCTTATCAGTTTCTATTGCCTATTGCCTATCAAAATGCCTATTTTGATCTGCATTCCGGCTTTGTCTCCCATGGTGTTGCTTTTGGTAGGTCGGACTAACAACAATAACACAATTCTAAAGGAGGGGGACCCATAAAAGCACCCCATTGATACCTCAGTTTTGCGCTTTTCATAGATCAAGCAGTTTTCTTGTGTTTTATTGATTTGCTGGGTATTTTTGCAAATCTGCTTGTTACTAAATTTCTGGCTGTAACTACAATCCTGTTTATGGCTTCTGCTATAAGGATACAGAGGATCAAACCTTGAACATGTTTATCATGTTCATTGCTTATAAGTACTGATTCCTGAGATACAGGCACTACTTATACTTAGCATGTGATTAGAGGTAGATATTTTGTTAGATGGAAAATATTTTGTTTAAAGTTCTAAAAATTGCTTTGAGGGCTGAAATCCATTACTTGAAAGACTTTACTGAAAACACTTTTGTTTCCATCCCTTCAATATCCTCCTTATAAGCCTCTTTTTCTTTAGGCCTCAATTTTCCTTCCTTCCACATGGACCTCTGCTTGAGCAGAGGGTTGGACTAGAAGACCTCCAAGTCCCTTCCAATTCTGTTATTCTGTTATTCTGTTATTCTGTTATTCTGTTGTTATTCTGTTATTCTGTTACTCTGAGAGGTATTCTTTTCCTTAGTCCTTCAGTCTTAGGGAGTTTAGGTCAAGCTTCCTATAATCTTTTTGGGCCAAATCGATTTTACCATTCCGGTGTTTTTGCAGAAGAAATAGCCAATGACTCTTTCTTCAGGGTCTCCAGATGCTCCGCTGGATGTCCGAGTGGATCCTGGCCCCACATCTGGCATTCTGGTCATCAGCTGGTTGCCAGTCACCATTGATGCTGAAGGATCATCCAATGGAGTGCGTGTCACTGGCTATGCAGTGTATGCCGATGGACAAAAGGTACCAAATTGTTTTGGGCATGGCTGGAAGAAAATTAGGACAGTATCATGTTTACCCATAATAAGACATGGAGAAATAGACTGAACATGGAGGTAATAGTATCTAATAGTGGCAGGATTTTCTCCAGAACTCAGTTTGATATTCTTTTTATGCTGTAAGATTTAAAACATTTATCTTCTCACCTTACATTTCAATACATCATTCTTTACCTATTAGATTTGATTCTGAATATAGGTAGTCCTTAACTTACAACCACAATTAGAACCAAAACTTCCATTGCTAAGCAAGGCAATCATTGTGAGTCATTACATGACCATGACTGCTTTTATGACCTTTCCCCCCCCACAGTCATTAAGAGAATCACATGGTTGTTAAATGAATCTGGCTTCCCCAGTTGACTTTGCTTGTCATAAATTGTCTGGGAAGATCACAAATGACAATCAGTCAATCAGAATCAATCAATCAATAATCAGAATAGAGCTGGAAGGGATCATGTGACCCTGGGATGCTGCAGCCATCATAATACATGCTAGAATCTATGCCTGTGTTGCAACTGTGACTGTGGGGATGCTGTAACGGTTGTGTGAGGACTGGTTGTAAGTCACTTTTTTCAGCAGAGTCATAACTTCAAACGGTCACTAAATGAATGGTTGTAAGTCAAGGACTGTTTGTAGAGTTCATGTTTGTACATTCTTTTAGCACACAGAATAGACAGCTCTGATGGTTTGTCTTATCCACTAACTAATGCTTTATTAAAAGACTCACCCTTACTGTACGAAGATCTTATTAAAGATCTTTGTACTGTAGCTTTTTGGGGTTAGAGAAATTATGTAAAGTGCATAACACCCAGAGAAGTAATGAAATAATTAAAGGAAATTAAAAAAGGAAAAAAGTTTTAAATTTAGTTTACACCAATACCTCTGGCTATATCCAGGGGTGCGCTGCTAGGGGTTTGCAGGGGTTCGGGAGAACCTCTAGCTAAGATTCTGTGCAGTTCGGAGAACCCCCAAGTCTCACTCCTGCCTGGCCCCACCCACCCCACCCCTCCCCTCCCAGGAGTCCCCACACGGCCCATTTTGGATGCAGGTAAGCATAGGATGTGCGGGGAGGCTCGGGGAGGGCAAAAAATGGGCCTACCGGAAGTTTGGGAAGGCCAGAAACAGGCCCGTTTCTGGCCTCCAGAGGACCTCCAGAGCCTGGGGAGGCCGTTTTTGTCCTCCTGGAGGCTCAAGAAAAGCCTCCTGAGCCTGGGGAGGGCAAAAATACACCCACCCCCCCATGGTGCAGGAGGCTAATCCAGGCCCACCATAGCCAGCAACTGGGCAGAGAACCCCTTGCTAAAGTTTTTGAAGCCCACCCCTGGCTATACCTCTCCAATCTTCTATCTTTATAAACCATCCTCATGTTCATTGCATGTACCCATTTATAAACTGCCCTACTACCATCTCCCATCTTTCTAGTTAGAGACCCTCTTGCTCATTCATCACTAAGATTGAACAATCCTACTCTCCTTTTTCTTTTTTGCAGAAGGTGCCTCAGCCTCTATCTTCCTACTTATTCAAGTTAATTACTCTTATTTCAGGTGATGGAAGTTACCTCCCCAACAGCTGGTAGTGTCCTGATTGAGATTTCCCAGCTGCAGATTCTCCAGCTCTGTCAGGAAGTAACTGTAAGAACTGTCTCTCTTTATGGCGAATCGGTGGATTCTGTGCCAGCTCAAATCCCCTCGGCGTTGTTGGAAGAAGTAGACCGATCTTCTGAATCTCAATTTCACTGTCACCCTTCCCGGCTTCTGGGTGGGGAAGCACAGGCTCTTCTTGTCACACGAACTTCTCAGGTTCCAGGGAAAGAACTGCCTTCTGCCACTAAGAACTCAGTTGCCAAACTCACCTTGCAGCCCACTATTACCAGTGAAAAATCTGGGGATCACGTGCATTCAGAGACATCCTCCAGTGTCAAGGCTCCCTTGACACCAACAGTGCAGGCTGGGTCACCAGAACTTGGAACTCTTCCAAGAGAAGAAGAGAATTATCTTCTGCCCTCTGCAGGCAGTGTGGTGAAGGAATATCTGACTGTACTCAAGAAGGAGGAATCTGGAGAAGACAACCAGGTAAATGTGAAATTCCTTCCTTCCTAGTAGATAAGCAGAGGTTGGGGAATGGGGAGGAATCCCTGAACACTGAAATAAACATCTTTCTGGCAATGGTATCAGGGGTGGGTTCTAAATTTTTTTACTACCGGTTCTATGGGCGTGGCTTATTTTGTGGGTGTGGCTTGGCGGGGGATAATGTGACGGTGGGCGTGGCCAACTTTTTTTTTTTAACTTTTAAAAGCATTTTTTCTACAACCTTAAGAGGTTGCAGAAAAAAATGCTTTTAGAAGCCTCTGACGATCAGGCAACTCAGCTGGGATCACCAGAGGCTTTTGAAGGCATTTTTTTTCCTACAATCTCTTCGGCTGAAGAGGTTGTAGAAAAAATGCTTTGACGATCCCGCGCAATCATCAGAGGCTTTTTTTAAAAACTTTTTTACTTTTAAAAGCATTTTTCAGCCAAAGAGGTTGTAGAAAAAATGCTTTTAAAAGTAAAAAAAAAAAGCCTCTGATGAGGTGGGCGGGGTAAGCGAGCGGCGACCGGGCCGGTGACCGGTTTGGGGGCATGACCAGCCAATGTTATTACCGGTTCTCCGAACTATTACAAATTTTTACTACCGGTTCTTGCGAACCGGTGCGAACCGGGAGCAACCCACCACTGGATGGTATGCTATAATACAGGGGTGTCGAACTGGTGGCCAGTGGACCGTATGCATCGTGTGTAGGCTACGCCCACCCCAGCTCCACAAAGGGGAAAAACATCGTGAAATATCATATGACAGCAAAGTGATTCTGTGAGTTTGACACCCGTGCTATAATAGCTACTGTACTACCAGTAATGGATAAAGCATTGGGTTTTGAAAGGGAATATCTGAAATTCAGTTTTCTTCAACCATGAAGTTGGTGAGAAATCTTGGGCCAGTCATTAGCTCAGTTTATAGATTGCACTAAGCCACAATTTCATCATGATTTGTCTTAACCCATGTAAACTATAATTTACAAAGCAGCAAAACATGATTTAGAAGTCAGTATCTGGTTTCCCAAGACAAGGGATTAATTTTTTTAGCTGTTTTAATGTTTTATTTGTATGCTACCCCAGGTCTGTTGGAGTTGGGTGGCCAATACAATTAAATAAATAATAATAAATCCAAATATAGTTTGGAGTCATATGTGAACCCAGCTTTTTTTCCAAGTAACCAACTGTCAGTTCCACTTAGATAAACCAGATCCACAGGAAGGCTCAAACTACTCGTATTAAGATCAGCTATAATAATGAAATCTTACAAATTTGATTGTGCTGTATCTCTTCCCTTTCTTATATTCCATTGAATCGGGCAGATGTCTGCCTAAGCTGCTTTTAAATATTACCTCATTTGTTAGGATTTTTAAACAAATTTTGCAGCCCCTTTTGCCTATTGTTGAATACGTCTTGTATTGAACAGAGCAATAAAGCTATTGTTGTGGCCCACCAGCGGCCTGCACGGATCGTGGCTGATCCTGACGAAGAGGAGGCTGGTGTGGTGTCGCGCCAGCAGCCTACGCAGCCAGCGCTCGCGTCGGACAGCGAGGAGGCTGAAGAGGTTGTGGTGCCAGAGGCCTTCAGAACCTCCAGAGGTTCCTTCAAGTGGAGAGAGCAAAGTGGAGGAGCCTCTCCTCAATGCTCGAGCACGAAGGGCTGCCAAAAGGCAGGAGTGGCTACTCAGGAGGAGGAGGTCTACTCGAGAGTAGGGCTTGAGGATAATTGGCCACTCCCTTAGCCTATTTAAGTCGCACGCAGCTAGTGCGTTCTTGCTGGAAACAACTCGTATTTTATTATCAGAGTATTTTGGTTTATCATATCTTGTTTTCTGGGCTGGTTGCCAACCTTTGCCGGTCTTGTTTATTCTTGCTACTTAATAAATTTGATAAGGACCATTGGTGTGTGTCAATATCCTCGGAAATCCGGAGCTGGGGCAGAACAGCTATGTATCCTGTTCCACAACACCTGTTGAAGTCAAAATCCATAATGTATATCGTGAAGCAACAGCAATCAGTTTAACTTCTTCCGCAAAACCACAGTTAAGCAAAAGACACACAAAAGTCTGTTAGTATGAATCTTAGGGGAGATTTATGCACAACTGTAATTCCATTTTCATTCACACTGTGTTTTCCTCTAATAACCAACCCATAGTGCAGCATCAACTCTTACCATCCCCTAATTCAGCGGTCACCAACTGGTGGTCCGCGAGAAAATTTTGGTGGTTCGCAGAAAAATTATTTGCATTTTTTATATTGCACTAAATACTATTTATCTTTTTAAAAAATTCATATTAGTGGTCTGCAAGATTTAAAATTATGAATTTGGTGGTCCCTGAGGTCTGAAAGGTTGGTGACCCCTGCCCTAGATGAGATATGTTCTCATATAACTTTACAGGAATCTCTCTCCCTCTCCTTCCCTCCCTCCTTCCTAATTAGAAAAAGAACATAACTGCTGATTTCACGTTTAATATCTATATTATTTTAATATCAAGAGATATTAATAATTAAGAGATATTAACGTAATATCTCTCTGCAACAATGTCCTCCCAGGAACTGCTGCTCACTGTGACAAAACAGGAGCCACATATTTCAAGCAGTGGTGCTAATATCCTGGAGACCTTTGAAAGCTGCTCTGCAGAACAGGAGACCAATGTCCCATCCGAAAGAGAGCCAGATAACAATCAGAGCTCCCTGGAACCAAAGATACCACCCATGGACAGACCTTCCATGCAAGAAGAAGACAGCACCAGGGAGGTGGGCCAAAGCGAAGGACAAACTCCAGAGTCTTTAGTTGAGTCTTCAGGGAGGATGAAGCCGTTGAAAGAAGACTCCAGAGATGATTCCTCTCAGCTGGTGCCCAGGATCAGAAGAGAGGTTGGTATTCATTGATCAAAGGCCTCTTTGGTTTAGAAAAACCTAATGATCCGTAACTTCATACAAACCGCAAAGCCCTTTGGTCTTCGTGCAAGGGAGTGAATGTGCAGACATAATGATTGTTTATATTAACAGTTTGTAATATTTCCTGTCTGAGGCCTGCTAAAAACCAAATCAGCCAGGATTCAAGAAGTGCCTTTTTCTGGGAAAACTTTTGGCTAAAAGACAAAATATAATTGCTTTAAATAATACATTCCAAAACATCAAAGGTTATACCCAGAGGCTATACTGGGCTACACTGAAAAAAAGTCAAAATGCGGTCAAAACTCTCTTGTGCTATTACAGCTACCATCTTGGCTTTTTTGACCCTACCTTGCAGCTACCTCCGAAAACACCAAGATCAGTTTTAAAATTAACATCACCCAAAGTTTAAATGCAATTTCATATTTGAAGGTATACATTCAGTATGAAAGTGGTGATTTGGGAATGGGTTCAGTCAGTAGTGGAATTCAATTTTTTTTACTACCGGTTCTGTGGGCGTGGCATGGTGGGCGTGGTGTGGTGTGGCTTGGTGAGCGTGGCAGGGGAAGGATACTGCAAAATCTCCATTCCCACTCCACTCCAGTGGAAGGATACTGCAAAATCTCCATTCCCATCCCACTCCATGGGAAGGATACTGCAAAATCTCCATTCCCACCCCACTCCAGGAGAAGAATACTGCAAAATCTCCATTCCCACCCTACTCCAGGGGAAGGATACTGCAAAATTCCCATTCCCTCTCCACTCCTGGGGGAAGGATATTGCAAAATCTCCATTCCCACCCACTCCAGGGGAAGGATATTGCAAAATCTCCATTCCCACCCCACTCTGGGGCCAGCCAGAGGTGGTATTTGCCAGTTCTCCGAACTACTCAAAATTTCTGGTACCGGTTCTCCAGAACTGGTCAGAACCTGCTGAATAGCACCCTTGGATTCAGTTATTCATTCCAATTATACAGCATTCAGGTTTTTCACTAATAAGCCTTTCCTCTTGAATTTCTCTAGCAAGCGGAGAAAAGGTCAGATCCAGGAAATCGATCACTAAATCTTCTAACTGACCACAATCGTGGTTCTGACCTTTCTGATATCACGGAGGAAGAGGAAGAAGAGGACGAGAAGGAGGAGGAAGAAGAGAAGCCAGTTTCTGGTAGGCCAGGGGAGATGAAATGGAATCCAAGTGAATATGGCAGCAGAGAAAATGGAGACAAGGTATTCTTATTTTTGCTGTCTTTGTGAAGCCCTTAAGGAGGAGTTGCAGATTTGCTCAACTCCTTCAAACATCTTCATGAGTTTATTTGCTTATTCATGATATTCCCCAAACCCAGGGCATCTCCAAAAATTGCTGCAAATACTAATATAACATTTAATACCAGTATTAAATAAAAATAAAATAATATTAAAGAGCCATGGTGGCACAGGGATTAGAGTGCTGTACTGCAGGCAACTTCTGCTGACTGCCTACAATTTGGCAGTTTGAATCTCACCAGGCTCAGGGTTGGCTCAGCCTTCCATCCTTCTGAGGTGGGTAAAATGAGGACCCAGATTGTTGGGGGCAATAGGCTGACTCTGTAAACCGCTTAGAGAGGGTTGTAAAAACATTGTGAAGCAATATATAAGTCTAAGTGCTATTGCTAATATAGAGAGGAGATAAAATGAGGAAACACAGGGAGTTGTATTAACTGCATTTCATTAATTGAATTAAAATAATATACTTTTAAATTAAATCTGACTACAATAACATGTTGTTTTTGTCCTGGCCCCATAGACCTCTGCTTGAAAAGAGTGCATATATTCTTCTCTACATTTGAATGGACTTTTTCTTTCATTGCATCAGTCAAGGTAGCTTTCATAGGGTTCTCAAAAAACATTCATGGAGTTCCCTAAAATCTCCTTCCTTCCTTCAGACTGTATTTCAGCCTTTGTCAAACTGATGCCTTCTAGATATGGCCAGATTGCAGCTTCCAGTTATCCTAACCATCATGGCCTCAGCATATTTGGAGAACACCAAAATGTGGAAGGCTGAATCAAGTATTCTCTTCACACCAACTACAATCAGATGTCTTTAGAAAACCCATAAGTAGGGCAAAAACATTATAAGCTATATTACCAATATTGTACTCAGATATGAGCAATTCCATTTAGCTTTCACAGCTATTTTCTATTGGTAATACAACCCTTGCTTTAATCCCCTTTTAAATCTCTCAGATATAATGTCCAGTACCATAAACAGAGGGATAGAATCAAGATCACGTGAAGTGTTAATACCACTTTATAATGCCTTGGTAAGGCCACACTTGGAGTACTGCATTCAGTTTTGGTCTCCACGATGTAAAAAAGATGTTGAGACTCTAGAAGGAGTGCAGAGAAGAGCAACAAAGATGATTAGGGGACTGGAGGCTAAAACATATGAAGAACGGTTGCAGGAACTGGGTATGTCTAGTTTAATGAAGAGAAGGACTGGGGAGACATCATAGCAGTGTACCAATGTCTCAGGGGCTGCCACAAAGAAGAGGAGGTCTACCTATTCTCCAAAGCACCTGAGGGTAGGATAAGAAGCAATAGGTATAAACTAATCAAGGAGAAAAGCAACTTAGAACTAAGGACAGTTAGAACAATTAATCAGTGGAACAATTTGCCTCTAGAAGTTGTGAATGCTCCAACACTGGAAATTTTTAAGAAGATGTTGGATAACCATTTGTCTGAAGTGGTGTAGGGTTTCTTGCCTGGGCAGGGGGTTGGACTAGAAGACCTCCAAGGTCCCTTCCAATTGTTATTCTATTCTATTCTAATTCAACTAATGGAGGTGAATTCCAAAAATTAATAGTTTAAGGTTCAGGTTTTAAGGTGGTTTAAATGGTTAATGGAGCTTAGTGGTGATAGGAACACTAGGTATCGAATGGAATGGAATGGGATAGAAGGGATGAGATGAGATGAGATGAGATGAGATGGAAGGGACCTTGGAGGACTTGGAAGGTTACTTGATTCAGTAAGCCAACTCTAAGGAGAGTAAATTTAGGCCAAAATAGGCTTTTATTCCAGGTTCAAATTAACTCTCCCTACTTACCGGTAGTTATTCCTCAACCTAGCAAAGAGTAGGATTACCAAATCTGGAATGCAATAATCTAGATGGCCATCAGACGGCAGCAAAGAGAATCTCTTACTTTTTCCTGCTATCTAAAAGTCATCTGGATTTCTACAGCTCAGTTCATCCTCATTTTGCATATGTAGTTCTCTAACAAATTGGAGAGGAGGAGCTTTAAAAAGTGCTAGAAAAGCACATGCTTTTATAAGACATTGTGTCTGAGATGAGGAGCTGATTAGGCCCCTTTCTACTAACAATCTTCCTGGGTTAATGGAAATAAAATGGGAAGGATCTCTAACACGGTCTCAAATAACCTTGTGTATCATGATGAGGGTAGATAATTTCTTTTCCATCCATACTCCTGTCCCAACCCATCCCAGATCTTTATGGATTTTATTCTTGAGCAGCCTCAGGTTATCAATCATAATACGATCATTTTAGTCTTCTCTTTCTGATTGCAAGGAGAATCACCAGGGATCTTTCAGTGCTCTTGGTGATAGCTCCAGACATTTTTAACTTTCCAGTCCTGTGTCATACTGATTTCATTTTTCAGAATCACTTGCAAGCAACATTTGGTCTAGTCAGTTTTTCACAAGAGGATTTTTTTTAAAAAAAGGAAGAATTTCTTAAATGTGTAAATGAAAATGACCTAGTTTTGTACTTTTGATGATGGTGGAAAACCCTGACTGGATGGACTTTCCCTACATCAAGAAGAGACAGAGCAGTAGAACACTGACTGTCATTGGGGTGTCATCTGAAGAATTCCTAGTTGGGTTTCATGATCCTTGAGAGGAGGCTGACCAGGCAAATGCCATTATGGAAAAAGCTACAAAAAGCCAAACAACAGGAAATAACAGGCATCATTTTCTTATGTGCTAAGTTCATCAGAACATTAAAAGATTTTCTCTTATAATCTCTAAATGCTTTGGACTTCATTTCCTATCATTCCCAGCCAACTATTGTCAGCATTGCTATTGCCTAATACATGTGTAAGTTATGTAGATGTGGAAAACTATCCTACATCCTTCCATGGGAGGAAGAATGGTATATAAATCATGGTGATCATGATAATCATAATATATTTCAGGTAGACTGAAGTAGCCATGTGATATGTAATACACCAAGAGATATTCCAGTTCCGGCTGTACAGCTGGAGATTCAACCATTTATTTGCCCATTTCCATTTTCCACATATTTTCTATGTAAAGAAATGGCTTCTTTAGCTTTGTAACATATGTCTTGGCAATGGATTCTAGCAAGGTTCAAACATTGAAAGAACCCTGCTGGAGCCAGATGAAAATAGATTTATCAAAATTAGAATCTTGCTTTCAATAGGGAAGCCCACAATCATGAAATAAAAACCCGTGCTTCACCAATAAGTTTGAAGGGTTGTTCTGCCTCTGAGTATCACTCTTCCATTTAATTACCTTCCTTCATAGTAATTGATTGACTTTTCACTTTGTGAATTTGTCTAGTCCTTATATAATGCCATCTACAGGAGTGATGGTAAGTGTTGTTTACCCACCTTTTAATGCCTAATTCCTCTTTCTCTCTTTGCTTCTTTCTTGATGGTCTGGTTTCTGGGTCTGGAGCACAGTTGGATCTTGGTGATACTGACAGTGATGAAGAAATCTTGGAACGGATTCTGGAAATGCCATTGCAAAAAAATTGCAGCAAGGCTCTATTTAGTATTCCTGAAGTGACTGAAGAGGAGGAGGAGCAAGAACAGGAAGATGATGATGATGATGATGATGATGATGATGAAGGCTGGGACCCGGTCCTAAACCAACCTATTTCCATCCCTCTGAAAAAGAAGACTGTGGGAAGCTTCCAGAGTAAGCTTCCTAATCATACCAGAAGAATTCAAGGTCCTCTCTGTTCTTGGTCTAAAAGAAACCACAATCTTTCAGAGCTGATCTTACCTGAAAAGACCCTTCTACAGACGTTTAGAGGGGAGTGTATGAATGAAACGTCCAGTTGCTCTAGAAGATGGGATGGTGAAGATATGACCTATCAGTGGGATGATCGAAAGAAACCATCAAGATCTCCTCTTTTGGAATGGAGAAAATCCAGTCATTGCAAGGAGAAGACTCGTGTCCAACCCCAGGGACATAGGAAGCGAAAAGGAGACATCCGCGAGCCCAGTGTTTCTCTGCGGAGCAATTCCTACTACACTGGAGGTGGTCTTTACAGAGCGCAGAGCCTCACAGAGAATTTGGATGTGATCACCAACCTTGAGACGGAGGATGACTTGAAGCTGTGCAGCTGGGCAGGGCAAAGGCCTGATCAAATTTCTTCAAGGAGAATGATGCCCCAAGAGAAAAGGGAGAAAGCTGTGCAAGGCCTCCCCCGCTGCCTCAGCCCAGAGAATTTGGAGATTGACATTGAGTATGATTCAAATGAGGAAGAGGATTTAACCATCACTTCCACGCCAGTGAGCCTGTTGAGTTCAGATGGGAGGGCTGATGGATCACCAACAGATTGTGAGGAGGAATGGAGTGACTGCTCCAGCCAGTCAGGATCAGTCCAATCCAGTGGGCGACGAGAACTGAAGCGATCCAATAGTTGGGAGGGAGAGAGCACGGATTGGAGCACATCTCCCAGCCATTCATCTGGACATGGTGGATGGAGGAAGAAGGTCAATGGTGGCCCAGAAGAATGGAACAGGACTCGGGAGAAAAGTCCCTCTGTCTTGGGAGCCAGGCCAGAGCAGGCTTGGAAGGAGGGCCCACTTGGGCAAACATGGGTCTGTGAGACACTTCCTTCATCAGCTGGTGTTGTTACAGCAGCTTGCAAACAATTCTGACTGTGCTTTTGACCCTTTGCTCCTATGCTTGCTTGCATTCTGCTTATTGTGTTGAGTGCTTTACAAAATAGAGGCTTCTGTTTTTATTTGAAACTTAACAGCCCATTTGTGTGATACTCCTTATTGGCTTTTCTCATATTTTACTTTGGGATTGGCTATCAATCAGACATCACTGGCTGAAAATATCCAATGCAGTATTCCTTTTCCGCATTAATTTTTAGGGAAAGTCTGCAAACTTAAATACCCTTTATTATAAATCGTAAATCTCACATTTATTTTTATTTGCAAAACCTTCCAGAAAGAGGCTGTCATCTGATCAGTGTGGTCTAGGAATAATTTATATCAATGTAACCTGGATTGATAAGATTCAGTGGTCCACAAAGTATAGAAAACTCAAAGGAAATGAGATTTTCTCAGTTTCACAGCAAACACCAGATCTCACAATGAATGGGGGAATATTTATTATGGCGTCAAAATGACAGTTTAACTGCAAAACTGAGCCTATGGAATTTGCTTTGCTTTTGGTCAGTGTTTTCTGGAAACATTCGCAAAAGAGGAATGCTGCATTCTAGCCTTTTGCATTTTGTGCTTTTGCTGCAGGGTGTAGCCGAAATGTCAGTGAATAAACACAGGTCTGATTCTGCCAAGGGTTCTCTTTCAGGTGACAGGTAGTCCCGGGTTGTTGGACTCAACATCTTACCAGACCCCTGTCCAGAGAGACAGAAGATCTTCGAGAAAAAGTCAAGAAGGGACCCCACCACTCAGTAGAACTATTGGTGAGTTAGTTGCAGTTTACATTAGGGCTGTTTTAAAATTGGTGGTGGGGGAGGGGGGGAAATTTTAGCAAGAGTTGAACAAGGATGGCTCCAAACCTCCTTACAAGATCAGGTACGCGAAGGAGTTAAAATCGCAATATCAAGCCCATCCTTCCAAATTCACAGACGCAACATCAGGGCTAGGAATTCTGTCGCGATAGACAGGCTCGGTCCAATTGTGGTTTGCTTTTGTGTCCTGGTTAGGAACTCGGAGGAGTGAATCAGCAGATGACAAGGGCTCAGCACGTCTGTTTGTGGCTCTTTTTGATTATGATCCTGTTTCGATGTCCCCTAATCGGGATGCTGCCGAAGAGGAGCTCCCATTTCAAGAGGGCCAGATTCTGAAGGTACGAGCGACACCAAGAAGAGACATATTGGCAGGGCTCAATTCTCACAGAGTAGGTGAATCTAGAAGTCTCTGATTTAAAAAAAACTTTACAGCTTGGCAGAATGCATGACTGTGGCTAATGGTTCAGCTGCAGAGTGCTCTGCTCAGAATTTTATTGGAATAACTACAAATAACTGGAGAAGTTTTCCAAGATGGTTCATCAAACTTGGAAGTACAGAAAGTTAGAGAATACATGCAAAAGTGAGCTTCAGTTTATTTATTTTTTTATCATCTATCTTTATCTTTACTACAGAAGAGGGCAGTGGAGGGTGGGAGAGATACCTACTGAGTCTGTCTCCCCCCCTCAACAATCTTGAGGTGTACCTGGTTTTCTTTCACAGGCCACTTAACCCAATTGTGGCTTTATTCTCAAAACAGATGAGATTGAAAGAATTGTCCTCTTAAAGTTTTCAGCAGATGTCATTAAAGGAGGAAGCGATGATGATTGCTGGATCTTCCTGGGCTGAACCAGAAGGTTTGAAAAGAGGCTGTCATGTTATATTTCCAGTGCAGTTACAGGCAGTCCTCGACTTATGACCATAATTGAGCCCAGAGTTGTAGGTTGTTGTAGTCTTTAAGCAGGTCACCTTGTGATCTGATTCAATTTGATAATCATTTTTATGACAGTTTGAGTCAGTGTGGTCTCTTTAAGTAAATTAGGTAGTTGTTAAATGGGCCATCTGGTCGTTAAGCAAATGCAATACATTTAGTGCTGAGGAATGACAAAAAATGTTGTGAATCACAATCATGTGATCTTGGGACATTGTAACTGGTGTGATTCACCTGCCATATGCCCGAAATGTGATCTTGCAACCATGGGGATGGGCTGGTGGTGGTGGTCATAAATTTGAGGAAGATGGTAAGTAGCTTTTTAAAAGTCTGTCATAACGTTGAAAAGTTGTTAAGCGACCAAGGGCTACTTGTAGTGTGCTTTGTGGAACTGTGTAAGATCTCTGATTAAATGGAGCGTTGTGAATGCTTCCAACCAAACACAGATGCAGCCTGTCTTAAAATTTTCCCAGTCCATGCTGTGGGGAGGTACAGGTTGTTTCATTTCCATGATGATATTTTCCAAATATTTAAGAAACATTAGTATGATTTTCCCAATGTGACCACAGGAAGCATCATGGCTGAATAGAAATTTGAATCCTAAGGCCCCTTTCCTAAGCCTTAGACCACTGCTAATCACTACCTCCTACTGGCTGTACAAAATTCCCAATGTGCTATTGATTTATAAAGAATTCCCACGTATTATCTTCAGCTCATAACAACCTCTAGCTTTGATTTCAGATTTTCTCCTGGTTGTCATATTGAGCTCCATACCATGACCCTGAGATCTCTTTTCTTGGGGTTGATGGATAATTGGAATTGGAATGGAATATTCTGTGCATTTGTATATCCCAATGTTTCTCAATCTTGGCGCCTTGAAAATGTGTGGACTTCAACTTCCAGAATTCCCCAGCCATCCTCAAGTTGTGAGACTGCAATAATGGGTTAGCTTGGCTGGCTGGGGAATTCTGGGAGTTGAAGTCCACACATCTTCAAGACACCAAGGCTGAGAAACATTGGAATATCCCATTATTGCAAACCTCTTGGGGATGAATTTAGCAATGGGTTGAAAGAAGCAAATGGACATAAGCAAATATTCCTTTGGCACTGTTGCGATTGATTGTCTGCCTCCCCCTTTCACAGGTCTATGGTCACAAAGATGCAGATGGCTTCTACAGAGGGGAATGTGCAGGAAGAACAGGGTTCATACCCTGCAACATGGTGTCTGAACTCCGGGTGGACAGTGACAGTGCAAGAAAACAGCTGTTAGAAGAAGGCCACATTTCTACTGATATGCTGATGGAAAGTCTAGGTACTCTGCCCAAATTTATTTATCTTCTTGAACTTTGTCAGGCCAGGGTTGGGAAACTTTTTGAATGGGAAATCATGCTGGTTGCTATGTTCCAGTAGAAAAATAATGGATGAGGTTATGATAACACAATCCTCTCAGATACACATGCAAAACTATACACAAAATATCTCATGTTCACCCATATCACTGTGATGTGTCAGGGAAGGCAAATTAAAACTTGAGTTAGCAAAGATCTTGCTCAAGAAAACGTCAGTCTGATGATTGAACAGTTGGGCCTTGGGGAACCAGACATTCTCTCGGATCTATATGAGTAAAAGTGTAGACTATTCTATAGTAGTAGTCAAGGGTTGCATATAATTCATGGATTATAAGTGTCCACTTACCTTTTAAAGAATGTATAGTTAATTCACTTGAGCCTTGTTGTTTCTCTGTCTCAAAGGTGCCCACATAATGAATTAAATACTGAACAGTAAAATGCCAGGACAATGTTTAGATTGTTAGAAGAAGAAAATTCTATGTACAACATGATGGAATCAGACAGCAAAATAACAGATTCTGCTTACATTTGGGAATAACATTGTAGGACTTTTCAGCTCAGAATCTTCCATTGTAGCGGCTTTGTACCATGTTCTTCTGCCAGTTAGCTGAACGGTGTAATATTCCAAAATCTGGGGAGAGGTTTTGGGCACTTAGTGATACCAGGAATATGTATATTCTCTGGGCACTTTGGTGGTTCATCAAGTTCCCCAACAATGAACCTGTCCATTCAGAACAACAAAGATATATATATAGATAGATATATGCCTGTGTGTCCCTCCCACATGTTGGGTTAGACCAGGTGTCTCGGTAAACACTTAATATGTATGTATGTATGTATGTATGTATGTATGTATGTATGTATGTATCTATCAGTGGTGGGTTGCCCCTGGTTTGCACCGGTTCTATAGAACCGGTAGTAAAACTGGCGGGAGGCTCCGCCCACTGACCCTGATGTCATCAAAACCCTTCTGCGCCTGCGCAGAAGCTTTTTCTGCGCGGCCCTGTTGTGAACCGGTAGTAAAGATAAGCCATTGTCTACATCATATTAATCCAGAAATAAGCCTAGCGTCTTATTAAGTAACACAGGAGAATGGGCTGTAGTGAATAATTTACTAAGTTATTGATTTGTATTGCTTGTTAATTTAATTGTGTTTTGTTTTGTTTAATCGAAGGGAATGGTGCATTTTCTCCCCCTCCATCGCACCCATCAAATCGCCCTTCAAAGCCTCGACGGTCTAAGAAAGGTCAGTACAGTATTTCATGATAGAAGCTGTTGATATCTTGTACCTATCAGGATAACAGGATTATCTTTCTTTATATAATATTTATTTATTTATTTATTTATTTATTTATTTATTTATTTATATATTATATTTATTAAAGATTTATAAAGAGATAAAAGAGGAAAAGATAGTAGTCTAAAGTAAGATTAAAGAAAAGAAAAAGAAGAAATAATGTGAAGTGAAAAGGTAAGCAAAATGTGGAAAGAAATACGAATAGAAAAAAGAAAAGAAAAGAAAAATCATTTCCAATCTTCTTTCAAGCAGACACAAACTTTATCCTCTCATCTCCCTCATTAACATTATATCATAATTCTTCTCATATTCTACCTTTTAAATCCAAAAATCATCTGTTTATTTTTATTTTTTTCATTTTCAGCAAAAAGTCCATAAAAGGTTTCCAATCTTCAATAATAGTGCTTATTGGATGAGCAGCATGGTGGCCCAGTGGTGAAGACACTCACCTAGTTGGAAGGTTGAGAGTTCAATCCTAGGTAGCAGCAGATATTTCTCCCCTAGGGCATAAAGAAAAAATATCTGCTGTGAACTCTGCATGGAATAGAAAACAAAGGCATCTGGCCAATAAACACTCAGCTGCATTTAGTCATCCTGACTCTACCCCAAATTAAGGGACTACAAGGTCATTAAAGGGAATAATAAAAGTACTTATTGTCTTAAGCAGGATTATCTTTTATGTGAATTCTGCATATCCATAAATTGGTTGGAACTATATATTTTCATAGGACTTGTGTAAGCATTTGCATTTAGCCAGATCATTCCACCACTTCCCAAAATAAATCTCCTGGGCTACTGCCTTGCTTAAGACACGCTGGCAAACAAACACAGCTCACTCATAATACTTTTTGTCCCCCTGCAGAATCAATCAGGCTGGAAGATCAGGTTCCTGATTTAGGTAAGTGTTGCTTCTGTTTCATCCATTATTATGGACTATAATGATATCTTAAGAGGGCATAAAATGTCTCTGTGATTGTAGAATCATAGAACAATGCTTCTACATTTCATAAAATCTTATGACGTAGGCTGTCAAGTTTATCCTTCTGCTCATAGCAGAAATCCAAGTGAAAACATCTCTGCCAAAAGCTGTTTAGCCTCTCCTTGAATGTATAGGTAATCCTTGATTTACGACCATAATTGAGCCCAAAATTTATGTTGCTAAGTGAGACATTTGTTAAGTGAATTTTGCCCCATTTTCTTGCCATAGCTGTTAAGTGAATTATTGCAGTTGTTAAGTGACTAACCCGGTTAAGTGAATCTGGCTTCCCCTTTGACTTTGCTTGCCAAAAGGTCGCAACAGCTTATCACATCATCTGGGGACACTGCATCTCTTATAAATATGAACCAGTTGCCAAGCATCAAAATTTTGGTCATCTGACCATGAGGATGATGCAGTGGTCGTAAGTGTGAAAAAGTCACTTTTTTCCATGACATTGTAAATTTGAACAGTCACTAAATGAACTGTATTCATTCATATTCAATAAAGAAGAGCCCATTTCCTGTCTGGGTAATTGGTTCAGCTATCAACATGTTCTTATTGTTAGGAAGTCAAGTTTTTAAAGTATTTAATCAGAACCTGTGTTCTTCTGCCTTAAGTTCATTATTCTATGTCCTGCCCTCTGGAATCAAAGATCTCCCATTCTAAATAAATAAATAACTTTATTGTCATTGTACGTGTACACACAGTATACCCATACAACGAAATTCACTTAACACCCAAAGACCAAATCCAACACACATAACAATCCCCATACACACTCCCACCCACCACAATTCCCCACCCCTAAACCACCCAAGAATCCACACAACAGACCAAGTAATACTGTCCAACAGCTCACTGATGGTGGCCCTTTAGTTCATTGTTGAGTGCAATTATAGCTCTGGGATAAAAACTATTCAGAAAACGTGTGATCCAAGTTTTAATTGTTCTGTATCTTCTGCCAGAAAGCAACGATCCAAAATGATTGTAAGCAGGATGGGAAGAGTCTCTGAGAATGTTATGCAACTTTCTCAAACAGTGAGATTCAAAGATGTGTCCGGGGCTAGTAGCTGGAGTCCGATGATATTCTGGGCAGTTTTAATGATTCTCTGTAGAGCCTTTTTGTCCGCTACAGAGCTGCTCCCATACCATGCAAAAATGCCATATGTCAGGACACTCTCAATGGTGCTGCGATAGTAGGACAGAAGTAGATGCTGAGATAGATTTATCTTCCTGAGCATTCTCAGGAAGTACAGCCTCTTCTGTGCCTTCTTCACAAGCATGTTAGCATGAAAGGTCCTCCGAGATATAAATGCCCAGAAATTTAAAATTACCCACCCTCTCCACCTCCTCACCATTTATGTACAATGGTAGATGTATATCTCTTTTCCTCCTGTTCCTTTATGTGAAATTTTTTGGGTAGATGACTCCCTTCAGTCATTTGTTTCTCAGGGTTAAATATATCCAATACTTAGAAACAGAACTTAATTTCTAGTCCTGTGATCATCCTCACTGCTTTCTTTGAACCGGCTCTGAATCTTATTTAAAACTTGGCACAATAGTCTAAGTGGGATGTGACTAATGCATAATTGATTGACTGATTATGTGCCATCAAGTTGTTGTTTACTCAGTGACCACAAGATTTCCTCAGTGATGATCTATCCTTCACCTGATCCTTCAGATCTTGCAACAGTGCATCCATCAACACCCTGAGTTTATCTACTTGGCTGTCGGTCATTATCTTCTCTTTCCTTCCACCTTTCCCAGTGTTTTCCAGTGCAGGGGTCTCCAACCTTAGCAACTTTAAGCCTGGCGGACTTCAACTCCCAGAATTCGCCAGCCAGCAAAGCTGGAGGAAGAATTCTGGGAGTTGAAGTCTGCCAGGCTTAAAGTTGCCAAAGTTGGAGACCTCTGCTGGCTGGGGAATCTGGCTGGGGAATTCTGGGAGTTGAAGTCCTCAAGGCTTAAAGTTGCCATGGTTGGAGACCCCTGTTCCAGAGAACTAGGTTCATAATGTGCCTGAAAGAATTACTTCCTATGTTTTGGAAAAGTTGCTTCTGTTGAAGCAGACTAAAACTGAATCCCCCTCTTTGTAGTCCTGTCATTTTCTGTCCTGTGCAGGGCCGGATTTTCCTATAGGCTAACTAGGCTTCAGCCTAGGGCCTCAAGATCAAGAGGGGCCTACATTCAAATTGTTAGCAAAATTAAAATTACACTTTCACTATAGGTGAAAGGGCCTCATAAGTGGAATAGCCTAGGGCCTCTTTTCATCTAAATCTGGCCCTGGTCCTGTGCATTTGTTTTTTGTTTCCTGTCTGTATAGGAAATGATCCTTGCTAGAATTCGAAGGCATAGAATCCATATTGTCTCAGTCTCAGAATCCAGAGTGGGGAAACTGGATTTGCAGCAGCCAAAGTCAAGCCTTTATAAATCACCTGGACCTTTCTTAATATCTAGCAAATCCAGAATAAATTATGGAGTGCATTTTGAAATTTGCAGCATAAATCATATAAAACAAAACATTTCATATAAATTTTGTCAATGTTTTGAACATGTCTGAAATTTATGTCTGGCAGAGAAGGGTTTTTTTCTTGTCTGTATTGGCTCTTGGCCATGGAAGATCATAAGTTCATGACTAGGTCGCAATGAACAGATAAGAGCTTTGTTAAGAGAGACCCTGCTTTAAAGGAACAAATGCAATTTCCCATTCTGATCTGCTAGTTGTAAATTACCTTTCTGGTTTAGAAGCACCTGGAAAGCAAAATCTGAGTTCTGAGGACCCTGTAAGAACAATGGTGGCCATTTTTGACTACAATCCCCAAGAGAATTCTCCTAATCCAGACACCGAGGTAAGATGAGGCTGCTTTTAGCTTAATCTTTGCAGCACTGTTAGTGGGTAGAGGTATGAACTGCTTAGCTTTGTGTATCAGTTAAGGAATTGTCATGGGCCCAATAAATCCTGGAGATTGTCTTGTTTCAGTGCTAGTTTCAGTGTATAAACTGAAAATGGAAGTAATCACTTCCTTCTCCGTTGCTTCTATACTGATTTTCTACTATTGTATTGTGTGCATGAATTGAAAGAAAAAAGAAAAACAGAAGAAAGGCTAAAGTAATAATATAATAAAGAAAGAATATAGAGTTGCTCTGAATGATGAGATGGGTGGTATATAAAGTTTATATACAGTATGTGTGTGTATGGCAGAGAGAGAGAGAGAGAGAGAAAAAAAACTTCCAATCTTCATCACAAGTATAAACAAATTCTTTATCCTCTCTAAAGTCACAAACATCTCTTCATCTTATATCCCATCTCTTGTCTATAAGCAAATCCATAAAACATCATCATCTTTCAGTGATTTTCTACTATTGTTTTTAATGTTTTCCTCTAGGTTGAGCTCAGATTTTGTGCTGGGGACATTGTGACTGTGCTCAGTTCCATGGATGATGATGGGTTCTACTATGTACGTATCGTGCCTTTCTGTTTTTTTAATTCAAATGGTTCAAACAGTGATATAGCTGGTAAATCAGAGGCCTGCATTGCTATGAATGGAACTGGGGGTGTGATTGTCTCAAAGGTGCATTTTCAAGAGGCAACTGGACTTTCTGGTTTTTCTTTGATGACGTTTTGCTTCTTGTCCAAGAAGCTTCTTCAGCTCTGGGACAACCATGATCTGGATGACCGAGAATCTCCATAGACATGAGGGTGCGATTGTTTCTATATTAAGAGTTTGTGGAATATACTGTATATATCTAAAGTCTCATGTCTGTTTGATGGTAATCTTCTGTTGGGTGAAATGGTACATCACAGGGCAACAATTTTTGAATCAAAGAACCTCAAACGGGCTTATTTACAGAATGCATCCAAAATCTGAGATCCATGACTCCCACGAGACTGAAATTTTGGCAAAGTTGTGGCCATTTGAATGCCGACCTGCTGCTGTGCCACTGCACAGTCAATCTCATCACGTAATTGTCATTTCCGTGACATTTCCAAGCTCCCTACAAGCTTCCTACAAAGAAAGTCAACGGGGAAGCCAGTAGCAAATTGAAAGTCATTCCCACTGCCTTTTTGGCCTCTCTTTGAGTAAGGAAATATTCCTGAAATGACAATCCAACAGGTCACAGGTTGCTTGGCTGAATTCTACAGTAATTATTGCTTTCCAGAAAGCATTGCTGATATCAGCAAAAGTGAGGAAACTGAGTGTTCCAGTTTGGAAATGAAAGCATCTGCTTTTCTTCTGAAAGGACTCCTGATCTTTTGACAGGTACATAGAGTAATAGGCAGAGATCCAAGATAGGAGATATATCACTAGTCCATCACTTTGCTTGGAAATAGAACGTGCACAAGAGATTGATGGTAGGAAAAAAGGAAGGCCGTCCCTTTCTCTGATTGGTTTTGAATCATCAAGTGATCTCCAACTAAACATTTCCCTTCTTTATCTGCAGGGGGAGGTAAATGGACAGAAAGGTCTTGTTCCATCTAATTTCCTGGAAGCTTTGCCAGCAGACGGAGCACTGGCAAGTGAGCCAAGCCTTGGAAGGCAGGTGAGGGAGACATGTTGCCTGATTGGGACCCAGATGTGAAAATGGGTTTTTATCACAGAACTGGGATGCCAGCAAATAGGTGTCTTTTCCTCCATCCATGTATTCCACCAGCCTGAGATAACTGAGCTATCTTTGTTTCATTTATCTATTCTTGTATGCTCGTGGCCTCCCTCAGCGAGTGAGAAAAAGAAGAATCCAGTGATGCATGTGAGAAAGTCAAGAGAAGAGAGAAAGGCAGAGAACAATCCTGTAAGTCCCAGATCAAATCCTTCCGGAATGCTTTTTGCTAGTTAGTAAATCTTTTATATCTCTGGACATATTGGCATCAAGATGAGAGCAGAAACAAAATTTTCCTTCCCATTCTGCAAATCAAGGGGCCTACTTCAAACAGATGCTTAAGAATATCAAGATAGATCCTTTGAATCTCCCTTCAATTATTGTCATTCACCAGAGCCAGTGCTTGTCTACAGCCTGGTATGAATTTGGTATAAAGTTGGCTCTTTATACCAAGTTATCAGCCATAATTATCATTTCCAATGCTCCCTGCCAGTTTCCTACAAAGAAAGTCAATAGGGATGCTGGTAGGAAGTTGGAAGTCACTCCCATTGTTTTTTACCCACCGTTTAGGCAAGGAAATATCTTCGAAATGAATATTGGATCACAGGTTGCCTAGCTGAATTCTACAACAATTATTGCCTTCCAGAAAATATCACTGATGTCAGCAAATACAGGAATCTGAGCGTTCCAGCTTGTAAATGAAGTATCTGCTTTTCTTCAGAAAAAACTGTCCGTTTGACAAGTACATTCAGTAATGGGCAGGATACCTCTGCATAAAGCATTTGTCCTACTCCCAGATCAGTTTTGTACCTGTGTGATCACCTGTCATAACCTTCATTCTGTATTGCAAAGGTTGTTGTTGCAAAACCAGATCTACTGTAATATGTTTTCCTGGAGTTGCTAGGTGGACAATTTTCTGCTGCTTGGAATTCCAAGTTCATTCCACCCCAGGAAAACCTCTCTCCATGTAACCGGTCCCTGGTGCCCAAAGGTTGAGGGCCACTGCTGTATACTCACACCCACAAATCTAAATTTGAATAAGATGCAAACCCATGTATTGTTATAGTCCAGGAATGGTTTTTAGTTAAAACTTAATGTAGATATTTATTCGTAAAGTTTGAAATTATTTTGGATATTGAATTATTTATTATTGAGATGTGAGACAGTGAGATGCTTGCAATATTTTGTTTCTCATATTCACTATCTTTTTATTTCACAGCGGTATCCAGTAGATCATCTGATACACCTTCCATTTTTGCTTAGCACCTGGACCGTCCACTGCCCCAACACTCATTGGGCCTCTCAATCCTGAGACCTGCCCTTCAGAGTAAGAAGAAGAACATATTCCTGAAGGGAGGGAAAATCCACCCCAGGTCAAGCAAGAAGAATGGTGCTGAGCTCAGCTGCCATAGAATGTTGCAGTAAAAAAGAAATGAATCATGATGTAATCCACAATGGCATTTTATTTCCATGGATTGCAAGATATGTCAAGTGGTTTGGGAAGCAAGTATAAGCTCCAGAAAGCGGGTTCTGTAGAGACATCTTGCTCACAATCTCTTCTCCAGTGTGTGGTATCGGCTGAAATATAATTCAGTGGATGTTCCCTATTTTACCTTTCTTCCAGAAAATATCTCCCTTGTTTTGGAAATCAAAGCTTCTTTCTTAGGCTTTTTCTCTCAGCATATCACTTCTCTCGATCCTTTCTTTTATCGCCTCTTCCCAATCTGTTGCAAGTGGACATTTTTTTCCTCTAGGAATTGTCCTTCCCAGAAAGAATCGGTCAAGGATCTAATTTGGCTGGGTGTGGCTGAAGGGTGATTGAATATATATTATCTGGGAGTTCCTGCCCAAGAGCCTTCATGTTTGCCAGTGGAAGACTCACACAGCTGTCTTCGTATGGATTCTTGTTTTGATACAGCGACTTCTCTTTTTGTTGTACTCTAATGCTAAACTGGGTATCTTGCACATTTCTGCCCCTGAGTAGAAATCAGGGCATTTACCATTTGATGGTAAGTTAAGGACTTATTGATTGCCTTCAGGTACATAATTCTTGTACAGTACCACTTGATAAATAATTTACTGTAATAATACCACTAATCATTCCTTGGACATCAAATGTGATCAACAAGCATTAGTGGAGTGCATAATACCAGACATGTCACTGGAAGGGGAAAAAAATCACAAAATTGTGTCTCACTAACTTTGGCCATGTCATGCGGGGGAATTCATTGGAGAAAGCAATTATGTTGGGAGGAGTTAGTGGTAAAAAGAAAGCAGGCCACCGAAGAACATGATGGCTGGATATGATCAACGCTAACACCAACCAGAGCGTAGAAAAACTCGAAGAAGTTGTGCAAGATTGGAAGATGTGGAGAGGCCTGGCCGATAGACTCGCTAAGATTTGGGCACAATTGAATGGATAATATCATCATCATCATCATCATTGCTAATCAGCTGATGGAATTTTACTTATCCTTACCTTTCTCACAGTTTTTCCTGGATTACATTCAAACAATTTGAAACCTCTGAATATAAAATCTCATTAATACGTTGTGTCATCCTATAAAGTACCATATATGGGGAAAACATAACTTCTGCTCCAGGTATGTCCTGGGAGCTCCCACAATGCCAGTTAAGATGTGGGGGAAGCCTCTCAGAAGCATCCAAAGTATCCAGCTACTCAAGATCTTCTAGGAAAGAGATTTTTTTCCCCCCTGCCCTACATTCCTGCTTCCAATCTTTGCGTTTTCATTAGGGAGGCTTTGACATGCCCACCGTCTTTTGGTCCACAGATTGTTACTGGCTAAAGGTGAGAGAATCAGAAAGCCAGGCTCATCCTCAGTTAGGGAGTACTCTCATCCTCCAAATAGTTGAAACATGTCCAAACTTGAGATCATAACATTTACCTGATACATGGAGAACAAAATCCCCCAAAATACTACCATCTAGTAAAGCATGGAGATGGTGATTAAACAGATTTCTGGCTACAGATCTGTAGAATGTATGCAGCTCGAGAAGAGTTCTAACAGCCCATTTAGAACTTCTGTGCTAGATATGCAGCTTAAGTAAGCTTTCTGTTTTCCCTAGTTAGATTCTCTGCTCAGAATGTAAAGGTAATAGGTCTCCTTGGCTATTGCCTTCAGCTATTGGTATTCACAGATACACTACACCTGAAAGAGAGAGGTTTCATTTCATCTAATCTCAAACGATCTCTTATTTTTGTTCCATGAAGTTAACTAGTTTCTCCTTTAATACCATCTAAGCCTATGAGCATTAACACATTGTGCAATATAAATTATGTATTTTGAGAAGGTCTCTGTCCTGAATTTATACTCTGTCAACAGCATTGTTGGATTCCCAATGCTGGCATTTTGAGTTTGGAAGAAAAGACTGTTTCAACCTTCGCTAATTTGCCAACTTCCAGATTCATTGGGACTACAGCTTCCATTCCCAACTTTGAACATTGTGAGTGAAAGTCCTAAGAATTTCAATCCCAACAACTCTGGAGAGTACCTATTTTATGGAAAGCTGCTCTTTCTCTTCTATGCCCCCTGTATAATTTATAATCCTCTGGAGTTTTTGCTTCACAGTTGCCTAGAACAATTCTTGACCACTGCCTATTATTGACATTGAGATTGCCAGTTGACCTTGACTTAGCTTAAATGGACCATCAATTGGGTTGCATTTTCTTCATTTCATAAAAGATGTTCAACTCACCCTTAGCCTATGCCCAAGAATATATCAAAATGCAGATTGTACTGTATTATGGAAACATAACGCTTTCTTTAAAATAGCTCTGAATGGCATCTTGATTCTTTTCTTGATAGAAGACTTCTTTGCCAGGTTCAAAGTTGGACCTAAAATTGGAACCATGTTCTTATGAAGTGAAATTCTGAGGTGAATGTCCACTACTGAAGAAACAGAGAGAGGGGGAGAGGAAGAGAGTGGGGGGGGGGAAAGAGAGAGAATGGCTAAGTTGGATTAAGGTGTTGATATGTACAAGTATGAGAGTGTATTCTTTGTCCCTGGTTATTGGCATTCTAAACTAAGAAGGCAGCCCAGACTCGACTGGTGTCCTTCTCCTGTGGTCTGCCTTTTGTAAGATTTCCAGCTGCTGAACAAGCAGCTCTAATGGTGAGGGTCAGTGGGCACTGTGCCAGCCCATGTGCCTAGCCTGTGGGAAGGGGTACCTCTTATTCAGAGGTGACCCCATTTCATGACTGAGAGATTTGTGTGTGCGTGTTTTAATAAATGTGTCCCCCATTCTTGCAGCCAATGTACCTCTGCATGTTTGTTGGGAGAAGGAACCATTCTTGTTTTGTTCAGTATGGATTATTGAGAGGGGACGTTGGATGAGCTATGTTTTTATTTAAAAAATAATAATTTATTATATTAAAGTCTATTTTCACAAAAAATCAAGTGTTCCTATCAGAAATTTGCTTCTTTTCGGAAGAGATTGATGTGGCCTGAATGGAACTATTCAGTTGCCCTGATGGTGATCGTAGATTTACATTAGTGGCGGGTTGCCCCCGGTTCGGACCGGTTCTATAGAGCTGGTAGTAAAACCGGAGGGAGGCTCCGCCCACCGAGCCCTATGTCATCAGAACGCTTCTGCACATGCGCAGAAGAGAGCGCGCGCAGCCCCATTGTGAACCGGTAGTAAATGTAAGTAGAACCCACCCCTGATTTACATCCTGATTTACATCTTTCCTCTAGGACAGGCGTACCCAATCTTGGTGACTTTATGGGACTTTATGGGACTTCAACTCCCAGAACTCCTCACCAGTTTGGTGGGCAGCTTTACAAGTCTTTGGGCACTTGGGTTAGAAGAGGAAACCAATAGAATACTTTTTAATTTCTTAGCAGCTTTCAATTACCTTAAATCCTTAAGTGCTATGAGAAAATACTGGCAGAAAGTGGTAACGGGGTCCAGAAATATCCTATGGAGAATTGGCAGTGCCTCCTGACATTTACATGGCATATTCCTCGGTGGGACACAAACAAGCAGGTGAAAGCAATTGCCACTTTCTCTATTCACACAGGCTGAAATTCTTGAGCTACTTAGTAGTATGCTGGTCATCTTTCCCCTAGTGATAGTTGTCTACTTACATGACAGACCTTCCCAGAGCTACTTATGACCCGTTTTCAGAATTATGGCAGCCAAACATTATACACATCCCATGGTCACAAACTGCATTTTGAACATTTGGCAACCAGCCCAGCTTTATGGCATTTGCAGCATCCTGCAGTTACTTGACCACAATTTGCAATATGTTTCACCAGGTTCCAACATTTACTTCTGGTTTCTGGCAAAAAAACAAAACAAAACAAAACTTAATTTAATTTAATTTAATTTAATTTTATTTTATTTTATTTTATTATTTAATTTAATTTAATTTAATTTAATTTAATTTAATTTAATTTATATGCCACCCCTCTCTGAAGACTCAGGGCGGCTCACAATACATTTAAAAATCATTGTAAAAAGACATTGAAAAATTAAAAAAACATTAAAAACATTAAAAACTCTTTCACACCATTCATGGCCGGATCTAGCCGAGATCAACGGCCCCAGGCCTGCTGGAAAAGCCAGGTTTTCACCGCTTTTCGGAAGGCCAATAGGATGGGGATGGTCCGGACATCAGGAGGTAACTGGTTCCAGAGAGCTGGGGCAGCCACAGAGAAGGCCCTCCCCTGCGGGCCCGCCAGCCAGCATTGTTTAGCTGATGGGACCCGGAGGAGACCAACTCTGTGGGATCTTACTGGTCACTGGGAGCTATGCGGCAGAAGGCGGTCTCGAAGATAACCTGGCCCTGAGCCATGTAGGGCTTTAAAGGTAATAACCAACACCTTGAATTGTGACCGGAGACCAATAGGGAGCCAGTGCAGCTCGCGGAGAATTGGTGTAATGTGGGTGTACCTAGGTGCACCCACGACAGCTCGCGCAGCTGCATTCTGGACCAACTGTAGTCTTCAAACACTTTTCAAGGGTAGCCCCATGTAGAGCGCATTGCAATAATCTAACCGTGAGGTGACAAGGGCATGAGTGACTGTGAGGAGAGCCTCCCGATCCAAGTAGGGTCGTAATTGGTGCACCAGGCGAGCCTGTGCAAAGGTCCCCCTAGCCACAGCAGTCAGATGGTGCTCTAATCTTAGCTGTGAGTCTAGGAGGACACCCAAATTGCGAGCCCGTTCTGAGGGGGACAATTTCTTCCCCCCAGAACCAAGGATGGACAATCGACATAGTCTTTAGGAGGCAATACCCACAGCACTCAGTCTTGTCTGGGTTAAGTCTGAGCCAAGAGCGACTCCCATCCAGACCCTCACAGCCTCCAGGCACCGGCACATCACATCCACCGCATCACTGAATTGACACGGGGTAGAGATATACAGCTGGGTATCATCTGCGTATTGCTGATATCTCACCCCGTGTCGTCGGATGATCTCACCCAGCGGCTTCATGTAGATGTTAAATAGGAGGGGAGAGAGGACCGAGCCCTGAGGCACCCCACAAACAAGGGGCCTAGGGGTCGACCTCTGTCCTCCTACCAACACCAACTGTAACCGACCAGAGAGATAGGAGGAGAACCACTATAACACGGTGCCTCCCACTCCCAGCTCCCTCAGCCATCCCAGAAGGATAACATGGTCAATGGTATAGAAAGCCGCTGAGAGGTCAAGTAGCACCAAGATGGAGGAATGACCCCCATCTCGGGCTCGCCAGAGATCATCCATCAGTGTGACCAAAGCAGTTTCCGTGCTGTAGCCAGGCCTGAAGCCAGACTGAAAAGGGTCTAGATAATCCATTTCCTCCAATGACCACAGGAGCTGAAGTGCCACCACTTTCTCTACAACCTTTCCCGCAAAGGTTAAGTTGGAGACTGGACAAAAGTTCTTTAATTCTGCTGGATCCAGGGAAGGCTTCTTGAGGAGGGGCCTTACAACCGCTTCCTTCAATGGTTGCAGGAAGGCCCCTTCCCTCAAGGACGCGTTAACACAAGGCCTGGAACCAGCCTTGTGTCACCTCCCTGCTGGCCAAAACCAGCCAGAGGGGACACGGGTCCAACAAGTGGAGGTACTCATCACTCCTACAGCCTTGTCCACTTCCTCAGGAGTCACAGGCTCAAACTCATCCCACACAATGGGACTAAGATCTTCCCCCATCATCTCGGTCGTAATTGCCCAATCAGAGTCCAGGTCCATCCGAATCTGAGCGACTTTATCTGACAGAAACTGCACAAACTCCTCAGCTCTACCTTGCAAGGGCTCCTCCACTTCCCCTACATTAAGGAGGGAGCGAGTCACCCTAAATAGGGCGGCTGGGCACGAATCAGCGGATGCAATAAGTGCGAAAAAATGTGAGCATTTTGCCACCCGTATCGCTACTAAATAAGTCCTAATAAAGGCTTTTAAGAGTGTTCGGTCAGATTTGGAGTTACTGGTCCTCCAGCGTCACTCTAGACGTCTCTTCTGGTGCTTCATCTCCTGGAGCTCCTCGGTAAACCAGGGAGCTTTCCTGGATCCACTGCCATGAAGAGGTCGCAAAGGCGCAATCCGGTCCAGTACCCCAGATGCCACTCTATTCCAGGCAGCCACCAGGGACTCAGCCGGACTGTGGACAAGGGAGTCAGGTATCTCCCCAAGCTCCTTCTGGAACCCTTCAGGGTCCATTAGGCACCTGGGGCGGAACCACTTAATCGGCTCCGCCTCCCTGCAATGGAGGAGTAGCGCCCTGAAGTCTAACCTCAGCAGGAAATGATCTGACCAAGACAAGGGACAAGCATCTATACCCCTTAATTCCAGATCATATCTCCACTGCCCTGAGAGAAACACCAGGTCAAGTGTGTGTCCCCCCCCCATGAGTCAGACCCTGAACTACTTGGGTCAGGTCCATGGTTGTCATAGAAGCCATGAACTCCTGAGCCGCATCTGAGAATTTACCAAGTGGTGGCAAATTGAAGTCCCCCAGTACCATAAACCTGGGGAACTCCACCGCCAGCCCAGCTACTGCCTCTAGCAGCACAGGCAGGGCTGTCGTAACACAGCTGGGAGGCAGGTACATCAACAACAAGCCCAACAGAGCCCCTGAGTCCAACCTCAAGAGGAGAGACTCACACCCAATCTCAGGCGCAGGGATCCTGCAAGGGCAAAGATTCTTCTGGACAATAGCTGCCACTCCTCCACCCCTTCCCTGGAGAGGCGGCTGATGCAATATCTGGAACCCGTCTGGGCATATCTCTGAGAGGGGCACACACCCCTCCTGGCCCAGCCAGGTCTCAGTTATGCATGCCAGGTCAGCCCCCTCCTCCAGAATTAAGTCCCGAACCCCGTCCATTGGAGAAAATGGATTCATTTAGCGACCACCACATTTGCTTAATGACTGCAAGGTTCATTTAAAGAGCATTGTAAAAATGGTTGTAACTTTGAATCCGGTCCCATGATGCCTCCACTTACAACAGCAACAGTTTATGGTTGTAATTATAGGCTCAATTTGGGCTGTAAGTCAAGAACTACTTGTACAGGACACACTGTGCTGTCCCAAAGGTGCATTTTTTCCCCCCAAGAGGCAACTGGACTTTTTTGTTTATATTTTTGAAGACGTGTCACTTCTCATCCAAGAAGCTTCTTCTTCTCTGACTGGATGGTGGAGAATGGAAGGATTTATGTTCCTTGCAGACAGCTGGTCATTTGCATCCTTTAGAGGGTCGTTGAGGCTACTTGGAGGTTTATCTGCATCAATGGTGAAATCTGAACCGGTTTACTACTGGTTCACTGGCTGCACATGCGTGCCGCATGCCAAACACATGCTGCGTGCACATGTGCAGTGCACACCATGCGCCAAATACAAGATGCCCCCATGCGCACACACACACAGTGCACACCAAAATGAGGCATGGAATAAGTAGAACAGCGCACAGGGGTGTGTGATCAGCTGTGGCGCGCAATCTTCGGAGCCTTTTTTTTACCTTTTAAAAGCATTTTTTACAACCTATTTGGCCGAATAGGTTGTAAAAAATGCTTTTAAAAGAAAAATAAAAGTTCCAACAATTGCACGTCGCTCACCTGATCATCGGAACTTTTTTTTTACATTTTTTGCTACCGGTTTGGCGAATCTGTAGCCTTTTTTACTACCGGTTCGGGCGAACCGGACCGAACTGGGAACATTTCACCCTGATCTGTGTCCTCAGGGTCACCTGAGTCATTGAGAAGTTGGAACCGTGTGTTCTACAGGATGTTTTCTGCAGGATGTTTTATTGTTGAACACAAGTGCAGGCTGCTGGGAATGAGTCCGTGTTGTCTGCATCTCAAACTGAAGCACAAATGTAGTCTGCAATTTCTCTGTGCCTTTGTTACCCAGTATTTCAGGTAATTCAGAATTGATATTTGCTTCGCAGAGCAAAATAGAAAGGCAGCTACAA